AAACCCAAAGATGATTCGTCCACCAGTCACACCCCTACAGTATCATATCCCGCACAACCAGTGGCACCTGGCCTGCTTTGATTTCACACTTATTTCACCGCCGAAGCGTTGTCACCAGGCCCTCAGATTGGTTTTAAGTCATCCTGATTGCAAAGGACTACCCGTGGTTTTTTCCCTGAATTTTCAGAGGTCCCCAAATTTTTTTGCTTAGGGGTCAGGATTGTGTGGGACAAAAATGCTGAATGGACAGAGATAGATGGTTTTTTTTCCCTGATTGACAAAATGAAGAGGAAATTGAGAAGCAAGGAACTTGACTCGAAATTATCAAGATCGTCCACATTGTCACTACTACCTACACCCCACTCTGCCTCTTCTGCTACTCCCTTCCCCTTCTTCGAGCCGTCTTGCTTGGCTTGAGGGGTGTTGTTGAAGGGCTTACGCTTCTTGTAAGCGCGCCATATCTCCACCATAGCATCATAGTCCGGGTCATAGTCTAACAGTGACATGCACATGAGGTCACTAAGCCTAGTATCTTTAAGGCTGCCATGCAGCCAGCTCTTAATCACATTCTGCCTAGAGAATCCGCGCTCGCACTCCACAGTGCTGAGAGGAAGCAATGCCATCGCCATCCACAGCTTCATCAGGTTCGGGTAAGAATCCTGCCAGTCAGGTGTCTTCAGCATGGCCGTGAGCCCAGCGTGAAAGCTTCGGTCGGCCTGGGGAAGAGTAGCAATGACAGGGCAGAAATGAGGCAGCTCTCTCATGGCTGCACGCTTGCCAATGGCAGAAAGAATCTCCTCTGCCTCATCTGCACGATAAAAAGTAACAAGGGAGAAGAACCAGTCAAGGCACTGGGCCTTGCGTGCAGCTCTCTCCCAGTTAGGGGGCCAGAGGTTGACAGAGAAGAGGCGGCAGCCAGAGAGCCTCCCCAGATCACCCAGCTGCTCCTTCAAGTTCGACACCATGCCTGTCGCCATGGCCACACAGAGCCTCTGGCACGCGTCGTGATTGCCCTCCCCCGGATAACCGGGCAAGCGATCTTGATGCAGCACGAAGGTAAAGGAAGCCGAATGACCGTCGGAGTCGACACCCTCAGCTGTGACCTCGCGAGAACCGCCCGGGCCGTGACGGGTGAGGAAGATGGTGAGACGGTCCTTCGGTCCCCTGCCGAAGTCTTCGGCGTCCCCGTAGCGGCTCTGCAGCAGGATGATCTGCGCGTGGACGGCCGAGTACTCCAGCTGAGGTTGGGGCGGGGAACAGGGGGAGGGGAGGAAGGGAGGGGAACGTGTATATATACAGAACCAGGGTGGTTTAATAACGACTCAATGTCACAGTAAAGAAAAACTCACCTGACGCTCCTGGAAGGACTTGTTGAGGATGTTTAGCTGCTCCAGTACGTCAGCAAGGAACATGACAAGGAACCAGAAGCGGTAGCTTGTCACTATCCTGGAGAGTCGGGTATCCGTCCACTTCGAGAGCATGACGACGATGGCGGGTAGAACCTTGACTAACCTAATGACAGCCTCACCGCGGGAGAGCCATCGGATGTTATGAATGCCTTGAAGTTCGAGGTTCGTCTAGGGGAAGATTTCCTGCAGGTCCAAGAAGTGCTGGTGCCATGGGCCGGATCATCCGAAGTACTCAGCGATTTCCTTGATGACATCGTCAATCATCTTGAACGTTGGCAAGGATTCCGCCGCTGCTTTAGCTGCCAGTGCCTCTCTGGAGGGTGGGACAAAACGGGAAAAAAAAAATGGTACATGTTGGGCCTTGGGAGTGGGGTAATACACATTGCACATGCGGAAACCACCAGTGCATTTAACACGAGGGACGGTAGCGGTAAACAACAATGCTCACCTGTGCGCAATACAGTGACACGACACCAAGTGCGGAATCTGCATCCGCAGCCGCGTCACAAGCCCAGCCTTCGACCCCATCATAACAGCAGCGCCATTGATGCTTATGCCCACGACCCGCCGGAGGTCGACACTGATGGCGTTGATGTGAGACAGGAGTAGAGCGAGCAGAGAGGCAGCGTCGGCCTTGTCGACGCTTAGCAGGGCCAGGTATTCGCAGACGACTTGGTTCTCGCGGATGAAGTGCGCAAACACGATGAGGTGCTTGCTGCGGCAGCGGTCTGTGCTCTCATCGATGCTCAAGCCGATGAACAGGCTCCTCAGAAGGTGGTCCAACTGTGTTGTCTGCAGCCAGGCTGCCATGGACTGTGTGAACTCCCCGTACCCATAGCTGCAGTAGCCAAGGGCATACAGATGCATAATAGATGCATGCACAATAAAATCAAACAACACACAAGAATACCTGTTGTAGTACGTGCCATAGGTCTGCTCGGGGAAGTGCTCGTGCCGACGTTTGCTGAGGTAGCGCACGAGCCTGATCCAGTTTTCCATTGGCTCGTTGCCTTTGCAGCAGAAGTAGAGCGCGTCAAGCAGCGCAGTCACACGTTCCTTCTCCAGGTCTGCGGCTTGAGGAAGCTGGTCGATCCGCATCTGGCTGGTTGCGTCCTGCAGCAGCGCCTGCTGCTTTGTCACGGCTAGGCGATGCTTGGCCGACCCCGCGTGCTTGTTGAATGCCTGCGACTGCACGTCCGTCAGCCCTGCGCCGCGTTTGCCGGCTTTCCCTCTGAGTCCTGCATGCTCAAGGCACATACTGCATTTAAGCGCAGGGAATCCAGCGTCAGTCTTAACGATCCTAAGCTAGGGAAACCGCTCGGACCACCGCGTATTAAACCTGCTGAGGGCTTCGCCGTTGACATCCTCAGGCGATCGAAACTTGTCGGGTGCAGCGGTAGTGTCGTCGCCATCGCTGTCGTCATCTTCGCACATGGCTGAGGGGCGGGGCGTCCTCGGCTGACCGCGTGGGAAATTCCACAGGGTGGATTGCCGGTATCGACCGCCAGGTTTCACGGGGGTGGCGGAACCTGGACTACAGGTAAAAGCATTAGCCAGGGATGGGCCTGGAATAGGCGCGGAATTTGGCTCGACAACACCTTGAGAAGTTGAGGCGACCGACAGCGAGGCGCATAGGGGTTTTTGTTCCGTCGGAGGGTTACGAGGAGTCTTCGGAAAACTACCTAGCGTCGAAAGGAGCATGTCAAGCCCAGTGCGGGCTTCGGCACGGTGACTGCCGCTGTCGTCGCCATCGTCGTCCAATTCCACGTCGCTTGACTCAGGCATGTGGACGGGGCTCACTAGGGTGGTCGACGAGCAGAGATACGCGACGGAGTGGTTGTAAAACAACGACACTGCGGGGGGAAGGTCATGTTGGGAGAGGCTAACGCAGTGGCTGTTTCTACCGTGGGAAGAAACAAATGAAGAAGACGCAGGGGGGAAAGGGAACGATGGCGAGGCGCGAACACTTTGCCAGCCACGCACAGTTGGCTTCCTGTATTCCTGATCTGGACCGAAACTAGCGCGGCGCATGCGCGTCGGCGTCGAACCGGAGTGTGGTGTTGAAGTTGGGTCATCATCGCTGGCGTACACGTGATTGGCTGTTCAGGCAGCATTTGCAAAGGCAACCAATCCACACATGCATCCAAACTGTGTGCTGGCCGACACTTTGAGAAGGACCAATGCCGTGAGGCAGCGCGGCAACATGTGACTCAGCAAACGATGTCTGCAGGCGGGAACCTGGCAGTAAGGCCAGTTTTGTGGGGGAATATGCGCATATCGCTGTAATCCTGGGGGGGACCCGCAAATCACGCCTTTGACAAAATCAGAATCCATGCTCGATACAAGTCTGAAATTTCAGGATCCATTACAAAAAAAAAACTGACCGAACAGATATCCCTTACAAAAAAACCCTGAAATTTCAGGAAATGCCAAAAACAAAACCCTAGCAAATCAGATCTGGTACCCCTCAACACCCTGTTTTTTCCTGAATCTGGAAAATTTTCCTGACTTCTGGGGGCCTGATTGTCATCGTTTGAAAGCATGACCGATGAGGCAAGTTTCGCAACCCCTTTATGGCAAGTTTCGGTTTCGAGACGACCCGGAATTATGGCGAATATCTCATATTAGAGCATGTTGCCCCTGAGTGTCAGGAATTTGACCCGAATCTATCGACGGTGTCAATCCTGACACGTCAGAAATTATATGAAGTGTAAATCTCAAACCGTCCGTTCTTCATGTCATATTTCTTGACATTAGGGGGGAACGCACCATTCGTGTCTTCGGAGGAGTCATCGGTCCGACTATTACACCCGCGACTTCAGCGTGGCTGACTGGAGGCCCCCGTGAACAAGGGAATGCTTTTTGCAGTTCCATAAAAGGTCAGGGATGAGTCAAAAAGTTTACTGCCGCCCAATTTCAGTGGGCCAGGTGTATCGCAAGCAACTGGCAGGAACCGAGACCAGACACGTTCTTCCCCCTGCGCCAGTCACGCTGGCGCGCAAACACCTGCCAATCTCTGGCATTTCTACAAGTGCTTCAGCCAATCACTGGCATTTCAACTGCTTCAGGCAATCGTAAGTCGGCGCCAATTCCTGAAGGATAATTCAGAATGTGCCTCGGAGTTTTTTCCATAACTAGCGCTGATTGATCAGCGATTTTTTTTTAGGTAAGGCTGAAATTTTCAGCCTTTTTTCAGGGGCAGGCAAGGCTGCAAAATCAGCCTAAACGCAGGGGGCAAGGATGATAAATCAGCAGCCTGACCCTAGACCAATCATAGGGCCTGGTTTTTGCTAACACCCCTGGGTGATTTATCAGGGGGAATACGGTACAGGCTTTCACGCCTTTTTGGCCTGACTTCTGAGGCCCTGCGCGAGATCCTGCAACTACAGTAAAGTGTAAGGCTGCGATGGAGTTATACCCTTATGTGAAAAAGTACACATTTTTAGGACCCTTATATTACAAAGTAGCTTAAAAATATACCCTTACAGAAAAAGTACGGTAGCAACAAGCGAGTTACACTTACGAGAAAGAGTACTTCTAATCCTATCCAGAGGCCTGCTGAGGACGGATGCAGCAACTGTCAACTTATACATATTATCTATGTAGAAGTTATAGGCTAGACTGAGGTATGCTTCTAGTGAGTACAACCAACTAGTATTTGTTCTAGGTTTCCACCTCTAGTAATCATTCGTTTCTACGTTAACATGGTATCACGCTTAGGTTAGGATCCCCCCGCCTACCGCTTCCGCCCGTCGCGCCTCCTAGGCCCCGTCGCGCCCCCTAGGCCCCGTCGCGCCCCCCCTGGGCCCCGTCGCGCTCGTTAGGCCCCGTCGCGCCCCCCCTGGGCCCCGTCGTGCCCGCTGGGCCCCGTCGCGCCTCCAAGGCCCCGTCGCGCTCCCCCTAGGCCCGTCGCGCCCGCTGGGCCCCGTCGCGACCCCTAGGCCCTAACGCGCCCCCGCTGGGCCCCGTTGCGCCTCCTAGGCCCCGTCGCGCCCCCCATGGGCCCCGTCGAGCCCGCTGAGCCCCGTCGTGCCTCCTAGGCATCGTCGCGCCTCCTAAGCCCCGTCGCGTCCCCCCCCCCTCTGGGCCCCGTCGCGCCCGTTCGGCCTCGTCGCGCCCCTCCTAGGCCCTGTCGTGCCCGCTGGGCCCCGTCGCGCCTCCTAGGCCCCGTCGCGCCCCCTCTGGGCACCGTCGTGCCCGCTGGGCCCTGTCGCGCCTCCTAGGCCCCGTCGCGCCCGCTGGGCCCCTTCGCGCTTCCTAGGCCCCGTCGCGCCTGCTAGGCCCCGTCGCGCCCCCCCTGGGCCCCGTCGCGCCCGTTAGGCCCCGTCGTGGCCCCCCTGGGCCCCGTCGTGCCCGCTGGTCCCCGTCGCGCCTCCTCGGCCCCGTCGCGCCCCCCCTGGGCCCCGTCGTGCCCGCTGGGCCCCGTCGCGCCCCTTAGGCCTCGTCGCGCCCGCTGGCCCCTGTCGCGCCTGCTGTTAGCGCTCGCCCGCCTGGCCTCCTAGTGCCGCTCGGCCTCCTCCTAGTGCCGCCCGGCCTCCTCCTAGTGCCGCCCGGCCCCTTCCTAGCGCCGCCCGGCCTCTCCTCAGCGCTGCCCGGCCCCTCCTCGTGCCCGACCGGCCCCAGCAGCACCAGCCTGGCCCCTCCCAGCACCAGCCCGGCCCCAGAGCACCTGCCCGCCTCCCCTGCTCGGCCTGCCGTGTCCTCTCGGGCCCTGTGTCTTCTGCTCGCCTGCGCTGGGACGCCTAGCTGCTGCCCTACTGGAGAGTGCTGCCGCCGTGTCCCCGCGCCGCTGTGCTCCTGTGCCGCTGAGGAGCTGTGCTGCTGTGCCGCTGTGTCGCTGAGGAGCTGTGCCGCTGACCCTGCACGATGGCTGACTTTGTGCTCCGCCTGGACGCTGAGGGCCACGCGGTTGACTTCGCCGCCTGGCTCTCCGATCTCCGCCGCCAGCTTACAGGTCAGCGCCAGGATGGCCACTCTCTGGTTGTCCATGCTGATGGCTTGCTCCCCCGTCCCCCTGCACCTACTCCCCTCCCTGCTGACCCCTCCTCTGATGACCGTGAGGCTTTCTCTACTGCTGCGCTGGCCTGTGCGGTCTGGGACTCACGCGATGCAGTAGCTCAGGTTGCTATTAGTCACGCCCTCCCTGTGTCTGAGCGCTCGCGTTTTGCTACTGTTGAAACGGCCAAAGCTTATTTAGACGCCGTTATTGCTCGCTATTCCACCCCTGCCTCCGCTTCTGCTGGCCGCTTGCTCTTTCCGATGCTGTTCCCAGACCTGGCTGCCTTCCCTACTGTCGCAGACTTTGCCACTCATTTGCGTGCCCTAGAGACTCGCTATCGCACTGCCAGCACTGCTGCCCAGCTCACTGCGCTCCCCCCTCCTTTCTGCATGACGCTCTATTTTATCGCTATGCGCCTGCCAGACCGCCTCACTAGTGCTCGCGACCACTTTCTTAGCCAGCACCCGGGTGACCTCACCCTGACCGCCTTTGTCGACACCCTCACTGAGATCGAGACTCGCCAGCGCACTATCGCTCAGTCGAGCGGTGCGCCGGCAGTCTCTATCTTTCACGGCTGTGCCCCATCCCAGTGCACGTTCACTGACGTTTCGGCTGCGGTCGCCACGGCGACCCCTCTTACCGAGACGGCTGCTGCTGTCCACCCGCAGCAGCGCTCGCGTCGCGGTGGCCGTGGCCGCCAGGGAGGTAGGGGTGGTGACGCAGGTGGTAGTGGTCGTGGTGGTGGTGACGGTAGTCCGCCTGAGGGGACTACCACCGGTGGGCAGGAGCAGCAGCCCCAGCAGCAGCAGGACCAGCCCCAGCCGCAGCCGCCGTCCCAGCAGCACCCGCCGCAGCCGTGGGCTCGTCTCCCGCCTGGTTGGCCCGGCACCTCCGGAGGCGGTGGCCGTGGTGGCGGCCCGCGCAGCTTGGCGTCTACCAGCGGCTCCAGTGCTGTGACCTGCCAGTACCAGCTTCAGACCGGGCCTCTCCGCGGCACTCTGTGCCGCCGCCCGCACCCGACCGCCCGCTGTTTCCGCCGCCTCGACGATCTTTTTCGTCGTCGCTTTGGCCCGGCCCCGGACCTCCCTGACTGGCACAGCCTGCTCCGCCAGGGCGTGCCGATCTTTGAGTTAGACATGGATCAGATAGGTGCTGCTTTGCATGCTTTGTATGCTGACGCTTCTAGTGTTGCTGGATCTTACTACCCTGTGTACTCTAGTTTAGGTGTTTCACCCTTGTGTAGCTTAGCTTCCCCTGCTGCGACAGGCGTAGGACTGCCTAGGTTGCCTAGTCTAGTCGCTGCACCGGCTCCGTCTCCGGCCTCCGCCACTGCGTCGCTGTCCTTCACTCTCGACTCTGGTGCTTCTGCCTGCTTCTTCCGCGACCGTTCCACGCTCACGCCGCTTGCTGCACCTGCTGTTGTCTCTCTCGCTGACCCCTCTGCGGGTCCGGTCGTCGCGCGCAGTTCTACGTTCCCAGTGGTCCTTACGCAGAGCTGGTGGGTTGCCTCATGTACCTGATGACTTGCACTCGCCCAGATCTCGCATACCCTCTCAGCATCCTGGCTCGCTTTGTGGCTACAGGCAGACACCGACCTCAGCACTGGTCTGCCGCTAAGAGGGTTTTGCGTTATCTTGCTAGTACATCAGGCATGGGGTTAGTGCTAGGAGGACGCAGGCCAGTGGTCCTTACTGGGCACACAGACGCTTCTTGGGCAGACGACGCTGAGACGCTCAGGTCGTCGCAGGGCTACTGTTTCAGCCTTGGTTCGGGTGCTATCTCTTGGAGATCCACTCGCTCGTCGTCTGTGGCTGAGTCTAGCTGTGAGGCTGAGATCTACGCTGGTGCCATGGCGGCACAGGAGCTCCGCTGGCTGACCTTCTTGCTCACAGACTTAGGTGAGCGGCCTAGCTCTGCCCCGGTCCTGTACGCTGACAACAGGGCCATGATACTCCTGTGTCAGGAGCCTCGGCTTGAGGGCAGAGCGAAGCATATCCAGCTGCGGTACTTCCTCCTGCGCGAGCTACAGCAGCGCCGCCAGGCCCGCGTAGTTCACTTGGCCTCAGGTGCCAACACAGCTGATATCTTTACTAAGGCGCTTGCGCCTAAAGATCATCAGCGGCACTGTGTACAGCTTGGTCTTGTTCCTGTAGCTGCTCCCCTGTTAGGATCCTGATTGTGTACTCTCTATTATATATGCTTGTTAGACTGGCCTTGTGGCCTTACCTCCAGTGGCTGGACTAGTAGTGCCACCCTGGCTTGCTTCAGTTTTGGTTGTATTCTTGCTGACTGGTCTCCAGACCCCTGCCTCAGTGGTTGGACTAGTAGTGCCGCCCTGAGCTGTTTGCTTCTTGTTTAGTTTCACCCCTTGTCTAGCCTAGGGGGTGTGTCAACTTATACATATTATCTATGTAGAAGTTATAGGCTAGACTGAGGTATGCTTCTAGTGAGTACAACCAACTAGTATTTGTTCTAGGTTTCCACCTCTAGTAATCATTCGTTTCTACGTTAACAGCAACTACCGGTAGTAGACACGTTACAGATGGCCCACACACCCCCCAAGCAACCACAACTTCTGGCTATGCCTGTGTGGCCCACCCAGGTGGTCATTTATGTAGGATATAGAGATGAAGAGCAAGTCTCGACTAGAAGTCATCATCGAACACAGCCGTGCTGCTGGACTTGCCTGGTTATCAGACGCACATGGGGAGGGACAAGGGGGGGGATATCGAGAAAGACAAAGCAGAAGGGGTGGGCACATGTGTGTAGAAGTCGTCATCAAACACAGCCGTGCTGCTGGCCTTGGAAGTTGGCTGCAAAGCAGAAGCTGCGCATGGGGCGGGACGACGGGGAAAAGTTCAGGCATAGGGTAGAGCATAAAGAGGAAGAGCTGCGTTCTAGACGCGCATGGGGAGGGACCAGGGGGAGATAGTGAGGCAAAAGGTAGAGCATGGAGAGGAAGAGAGATGGGTCTGGAAGTCGTCATCGCTCACAGCCGTGCTGCTGGCCTTGGCTGCAAAGCAGAAGCACAAGGGGAGGGAAGGGGGGAGGAGAGGAGGAGGGGGGAGAGGGAATGGTGAGTCGTAAAATTAGAGGCTGATCTGTAACTGGTCTTCACAGGAGAGGCAAGGGATAGGTCACAGTGAGTAAGACAGTATAATTCACCATTCCCACCCACACAGCATCTCCGTCACAGGAGCAGCTTCACATATACTCATCGTTTCCAGCATCATCACTCACCATGCATGCATTGCATCACCACCATCATCACATACCATCCAATCATGCATCAGCATCATCACACACCATCCAATCATGCATCAGCATCATCACACACCATCCAATCATGCATCCGCATCATCACACACCATCCAATCATGCATCAGCATCATCACACACCATCCAATCATGCATCCGCATCACCACTCACCATTTATCGACCGCAGCATGATCCGAGCCTGTCCATCCTTCTCAGCTGCCTTCTTCAGCCACTCCTTGCCCTGCAGAGCACAACAAGGGTCATTAGAAGCACATGGAAGCACTTGTAACCAGGCCACTTTTGAGTTGACTCAAACGTCTTCTCGGCTGCCCTCTTCAGCCACTGCTTGCCCTGATCGAATCACACGGAGATAGGGTCATACGGAGCACGGGGAAGGGAGCCGCAGTCTATATTCGAGCCAACTCAAAATCTTCCTACAACTAAAGAAACACCCGCTGCCTTCTTCAGCCAGTCCTTTCCCTGACCAAAACAAGCGGAACGGGCCATTAAGAGCACAGGGAAGGAAGTCGATAACATGGGGGGGACTAGGAGCATATGGAGCGAGATAGAGACCTCAAACATACAGGAAGATGAGCATAGGAAAGAATGAGATGGAAGAGCCACGAGGGAGCGATAGACATGGTGAAGTCTATGGGAGACAATGCCTGTTTTCTGCGCTCAGCAAAAAAGGATGAACCCTAAAATAAAAAGAGGACTCGGAAATTTTCTCACCCCACCTTACTGCATCCGCATTAGTGCCTCACCCCGAGACGTACATCTGAGCCAGAGGTGGCCACTAAAGCCAATCAGCAAGCAACTTCGTCTATTCTCACCTTAAATACATCGGCCCTGGTGCCATATTCAGAGACGCACATCCGGGCCAGCAGCGACCACGATTGAAGCTTAAAAAGAAGTATGACCTCGTTTCTCGCCTCACCTTGGTTACAGCTAAGGTGACTGATGAGACGACTCGAAATACATCAAACGACCGTTTTCTCGCCGTCACGTTGCCTTCGTGCTTTGACGCCATACCCCGACATGTACACCAGAGCCTTAGCTGATTATGAAGCGCTTTTTTTTTTCTCCCCTCACCTTGCCTGCGTTTGCTCGCCATAGCCCGAGAGGTACATCTGGGCCAGCAGCACTGCATGGGAACCACACCTGAAGTGAACATGAAACACCTGAAGTGAACATGAAACACCTGAAGTGAACATGAAACACCGCCGCTGGTCATGAGAAAAAAAAAAAGGCCAGCGGCGGACCTGAAGTGAACATGAAACACCTGAAGTGAACATGAAACACCTGACGTGAACATGAAACACCTGAAGTAAACATGAAACACCTGGCAAGGCCTTTCTCTGCCTTCGCCTTGGCTGGGTCCGCCTTACATCTGGGCCAGCAGCGCCCCAAAAAATGAGAACCTCAAAGGCAGTCTGACCATTCTCCGCCTCACCTTGGTTGCATCGGCCTTGACGCCATGACCCGACAGGTACATCTGGGCCGGCACCGTCTGCCTAGTTGGCACACCTTAGCTGACTTTGGGAGCATAGCCCTTTATTCCTCGCTCCTCACCTTCCCTGGGTCCGCCTTGACGCCGTAGCCCGAGAGGTACATCTGGGCCAGCAGCGTCTGCATGGGAGCGACGCCGCTCTCCGCCTCGGCTTGCGTCTGTCGGAACCAGCGCTGCATGCACTCGTGCACCATCACGCGGAGGGGTATCCGCTGCTGCTGCTGCTGCTGCTGCTGCTGGCCCGACGATTCTCGCCTCGACGCGGGGGCTTGTCTTGTCGCTGCGTCTTGTCTTGACGCCGATTCTGCTTCTCGTTTCGTTGCCGAATCTTGTTTCGATGCCGGTTGTGAACTAGTCGCGTGCTCTTTCCCCTTCTCCCTTCTGCTCTCCATCGCTTTCCTCCGCCGCCTGCCGCCAGCGTCCTTCAGAAACAGATATTTCACGAGAGGTGCTCAGCCGTCCTCCCGTATACGCCCTCGCGTCCGCGTCTACTTCCAAAGCTCGTCCGATGCTTTCGGCGGCATGAGTTATAGGCGCCTAGAAAATCGTCCCCTCACGTCCGCGTCTACTTCCAACGTCCGTCCGCTGGAAGCAGCGGCACGAGCTATAACGGCTGTATTTAAGGCGCCTAAAAACTATAGAAGCTAATCGCCGAAGTTACTCCTGACACGTCGCGCCAGGAGCGTCAGCTATGTGATAAAATCCGTATAAGCATACTCAGTTGGGAGTCAGTGTGCCACCGCTCGCACTACGAGAATTCTGGGATGTAGAGGGCAGGGGTCAATAGAGAGGGTGCGGCCTCGTTTTCTGGAGAAAGAGGACACGGATGCGAGACTTGAAGCCGTACAGTGTCTGCTAGCAGGTTTGCACCCCCTAAGGTCGTTCTGATCTCCAAACGAGCTACGGGCGGTCGCGATTGTCGGTCTACCTAGAGTGAAAAGGCTCGGAGGTAGGGAGTGCGACGAGCTTGCACTAGAGCCCCAGCCATGCGCATCGCCGAATTCTACAATCCTAAGTATTGTATCGAGACTTCGCCTCAGTCCGACCGAGATTGTCGACTTCTACCAGAGTCCTTCCAGAAGCAATCTTTACGAACGCTCCTTGCCGTCAATCTGCACGTCGCAGCCGTATGGAGCACTTCCCGCTTCAGATGAGGATTCACAGGGCTTTCATTTTGAAGAACACAAGGTCGCGTTCCCGCAGATAGATTGGGAACCTGTGCTTCAGGTCGGATACACCCGCGAATCGCCCGATCGATCGACTTCCTGCACGAATATGTCTCGAAGACCGTCCTTCGCGCCAAGCGCCTGTACGCGTCAGTGACATGCTATGTTATGATATAGGAAGTGTCAATGTACTATAACGTGAGAAATACAAGGTCGCTATTGCAATGAAGGCACGAGGTTATATAGGGGTTGGCGTGCTAGGGCGATAACCTCGGAACGTGGGTAGGTTCTGTTAAGAACTTAGGATGCTAGGTCCCTAAAGTTAGGACACTAGCTTAGCTAGGATAGGAGCAAGGCCGCCATGGAACGGCGCTAGGAAAAACGGATCTAGGAGTAGGAGGAAAGTCGAGAAGAAAGAGAGTTGGATTAGGAAGAGAAGGGAGTACAAGGAGGGGTTTGTACCCCCTACAGAAAGGTTCAGTAACAACCTACCAAGCCTATATTAAATTATAACTTATATAATTTTAACACACCCCCTAGGCTTGGTAGTGTCAAGCCCACTCACACCCCCACACCCGCACCCAACCCACCCCCTAACCCCGCACACCCTCAGGCTCGTGCTTAGCCGGGTATCTGACCCTCAGGCAAAGCGTTGACACACCCCCGTACACGAGGCAGCCGACGGCGTCTAGGCGGGTCAGCGACAAGCAGCCGCGGAGCTCTGGCTCAAGGCGGCTGGGTCGCCGACGACAGGCGGCGACTGCCGCGGCTGAGGGCTCTCGGCGATGTGGCAACGTCCGGGCAGAAGACAGCAGCTGCGACAGGAGGAAGGGAAGACGCAGGGGGAAGGGAGAATGGGGGGGGGGGGGGGGGGGGGGGGGGCGGGGCGAGTCTTCAGCGTCGCGCCATAAATGGCGCGGCGCTTACAGGCGGGACGACGGCGTCCTGGCAGGGGGCCACGGGGCCGGGCAGAGGGCGACGGGGCCAGGCAGGGCGCGACGAGGCCCCGAAGGGGCGCAGCCGCGGCGTCGCGCTGACGTCGTCCCGGTCGCGTGTCGAGACGGCCGCGGCAGGACGGCGCAGCCGGCGAAAAGACGACGACGCCACAGCGTGACGCCGCCGCGGCCGCCATGGCAGCGTCGATGCCGCAGCGGGGCGTCGACGCTGCGACTGCAGAACGACGGCCCGACTCCGCAGCAGCGCGTCGGGCCGGTCGCGGCACGACGCGCCCAGTGGCAGCGCGACGTCGCCACTGCAGCAAAACGCGGCCGCCATGGCCGCTGGAGTGAATGAGGGTAAGGAGTAAATGGCGGAAGCGAGAGGAGGCAGTCCAGCAGGAAGGATCTCCTGCTCTGATACCATGTTAAGAACTTAGGATGCTAGGTCCCTAAAGTTAGGACACTAGCTTAGCTAGGATAGGAGCAAGGCCGCCATGGAACGGCGCTAGGAAAAACGGATCTAGGAGTAGGAGGAAAGTCGAGAAGAAAGAGAGTTGGATTAGGAAGAGAAGGGAGTACAAGGAGGGGTTTGTACCCCCTACAGAAAGGTTCAGTAACAACCTACCAAGCCTATATTAAATTATAACTTATATAATTTTAACAGGTTCGGCAATGTGGCGATAGTGCCGGACCCGACTCGGGAAAGGTTTGGGCCGATAAATGAGGCCGAACATGACCAGTCGAGGAGTTCGGGTGTACGCGCTAGCGTACGACTCAGTAAGGAATGGAAATTCCTTTCACTACCCCCCCTCCTAAATGAGACCGCGGGCATCGGAAACATTCTGACGATGATAATACGTTGCTAGAATCGGGTGTGATTCTAGCTCGGCGAGTGGCACCCAGTCTTAGAAACTTATGACTCAAGGTTCTTAAACTTAGGAGGCTAGGTTGGCTAGGATACTAGCAAGAAGGCCGCCATGGAATGGCGTGAGGAAAACGGATCTAGGAAAGGAGAGGATTGTCGAGAAGAAAGATGTTTGATTAGGAAGAGAGAGGAGTACAAGAAGGGGTTTGTACCCTCTACAAAAAGGTTCAGTAACAACCTACCAAGCCTATATTAAATTATAACTTATATAATTTTAACACACCCCCTAGGCTTGGTAGTGTCAAGCCCACGCACACCCCCACACCCACACCCACACCCCCTAGCCCAGCACCCCCATTCCCAACAGGAGCCGCAACGACTCCGGAAGAGGGTAGGTCTTACGGCCCCTTGAGACGGCAATGGCGACAGCAGCGACAGTGACGACGGCGGCGGCGGCGGCGGTGTGCGGCGGCTCCAGGCCTGCGGCAACAGCGGCGGCGCCGGCGGCTCGAACGACAGAGGCTGGTGCGGCGGCCCCCGCCCTCTCGGCGGCATGTCTTGTCTCCTCGGCGGTGGAGAGGTCCCTCACATGGTAGTCATCGGCTGCAGCAAGAAAGGGGGGGATGCAGGGGAAGCAGGTGCAGGTGGGGGGGGGGGGAGGGGAGGGGGCGGGGCGAGGCGGGTCTTCAGCGACGCGCCATAAATGGCGCGGCGCTTACTGGCGGGAGGACGTCGTCCTGAGGGACGCCCGTCTGTGGCGAGCGGGCGGCAGGCCCGGCGACGCCACAGACGTCGCTCGGCCGGCCGCAGCCCGACGATGCCGTCGGCTGCCGCAGACGCCGCCACAGCGCACCGTCAATGTCGCAGCGGCGAGGCGGACGGGCGACGGCTGCACCAAAGGGCCGTCGCGACACCTTGGCGCCGCGACGGTAGGCAACGAGGGACCGTCGTGACATCTTGGTGCCGCGACGGCAGGCAACAAGGGGCCGTCGCGACATCTTGGCGCCGCGACGGCTGGCAACAAGGGGCCGTCGCGACAGCCTGGTGCCGCGACGGCAGGCAACAAGGAGCCGGTCGCGGCACGACGCGGCCAGTGGCAGCGCGACGTCGCCACTGCAGCAAAACGCGGCCGCCATGGCCGCTCGAGCGAATGAGGGTGAGGAGTAAATGGCGGAAGCGTGAGGAGGTGGTCCAGCAGGGAGGATCTCTTGCTCTGATACCATCTTAGAAACTTAGGACTCAAGGTTCTTAAACTTAGGAGGCTAGGTTGGCTAGGATACTAGCAAGAAGGCCGCCATGGAATGGCGTGAGGAAAACGGATTTAGGAAAGGAGAGGATTGTCGAGAAGAAAGATGTTTGATTAGGAAGAGAGAGGAGTACAAGAAGGGGTTTGTACCCTCTACAGAAAGGTTCAGTAACAACCTACCAAGCCTATATTAAATTATAACTTATATAATTTTAACACCCAGCTGTCATCTTCTGACGTGCGATCGTGCCAGCGGACGAGAAAATCAACCATCCGACGGTTCAGCATCGTCGTAACTCGATGGCCGAGAATTTTCAAGGGCTCGGTCGTCGGTTCCTGCAGGGGCGTCAGCTGTGGTACACTGCGGTGGCGTGCCAATTTCGACGAACTAGAGACATAGGGCCGTAAGAGGCTGGCGTGGAAAGCCGGGTGGTGACGCCAATCAGCCGGGAGGCGGAGGTGAGCAGTGACAAGTCTCACCATATTCGTCACTTGAAATGGCCCACAGAATCTGGGCCGGAGCTTGCTCGGTATCGGCAACCGCAAATTGCGAGTGTCGAGTAGGACGAGATCTCCCACTTTGTAATTGACGTCACGTCGATGGCGATCGGCTTGTCGGCTTGCGACCAGGTTGGCTTTCCGGATTGCCTCAGCTGCTTTTTCTCGGGCGACGAGAATGTCTTCAGCCTTGCTCGTGTAGGCTGCCCTGAAGAAAAGCTGTGGAGACGTCTAGGGAGTGGAGCTCGTAGTAACGCTGTGCTGCTACGTGTAGCAGCGCCCGAAGAGTAGTCATCTTCGGGGTCGGGTCGAACCTCTGAAAGAAGTCCACCCCCTCACGTTGACTGAAGCCTCTAGCCACGTAGCGCGCCTTGAACACATGCGGCTCTCCAGGGGGGCGCTTCACCTTGAAGAGCCACCGGCCATCGACTGCGTTCACCCCAGGTGGAGGAACTGTATCGACGTAGGTGCCTGTGGATCTCCAAGATGCCATCTCCTGCTCCATGGCAGCTATCCACTGAGAGGCCCAAGGTCCCGAGGTCGCGTCAGCGTAAGTGCGAGGGGTCGGGATGTCAAAGGCGTCTAGGTCAGCCTCAGGGACTAGCAGCATGGAACATAGATGGGGAGCAGCCTCGGATAAGAAAGCAAGCTCGTACTGCCTGTCCTCAAGGACGTCACTGCCAAGGGCAGGAGCGCCCTCGACAGGCGGAGGATGGACAGGGTCAGAGACCAGAGCGGTGGCGTAGTCAAGGCAGCGGGAAGAGGCGAAGTCAGTGACAGCAGCGACAAGAGCGTCAAGACTCGAGAGAGGAACAGATGGGTCGGTAACGAGGGAGGCAAGGACCCGAGGAACAAGAGGACGAGCAGCACGAAGGTAGTCAGACAGAAGGGGAGACAGGACGAGCACGAGAGGGACAGCGAGACCAGACGTGAGACGGAGGCGTCGGGTCAGGAGACAGGGGAGGAGTAATAGGAGGGGAACGAGGTGGGAAACGAGCCGGGGACGAGTCTGGCAGAGGAAACACAGGACCGTGGACAGGAAGGGGGGGAGGCAGCGGGGGAGACGCAGGCGAGCGGGCAGGGGAAGGAAGGCCGAGCAAGCGAAGGGCGGACACCGGCGGAGGAGTCGAGGCATACAAGGGGCCGGCGTGTGGAGAGGGGCCGGCAGGGCGCTGGGGGCCGGAGGTGCGCAGGAGAGGGGCCGGCTAGGTGGGAGGGGCCGGCTAGGCGGTGGGGGCCGGCTAGGTGGTAGGGGCCGGTTAGGCGGTAGGGGCCGGCTAGGTGATAGGGGCCGGCTGAGTGCAAGGGGCCAACTAGGCGCGAGGGGCCAGCTAGGCGTGAGGGGCCGGCAAGGCACGAGGGGCCAGCGAGGGCGCGAGGGGCCGGTCAGGCACGAGGGGCTGGTGAGGCGTGAGGGGCCAGCTAGGGCGCGAGGGGCCGGTCAGGCGCGAGGGGCCAGCGACGGCACGAGGGGAGGGCGACTGCGCGAGGGGCCAGCTAGGGCGCGAGGGGCCAGCGAAGGCGCGAGGGGCCGACCAGGCGCGAGGGGCGGGCCGGCTGGTCGCAAAGGGGCCGGCTGGGCGCTAGGGGCGGGCGACGACGCGAGGGGCCAGCTAGGGTGCGATGGGCCAGCGAAGGCGCGAGGGGCTGGCGATGGCGCGAGGGGCGGGCCGGCTGGTCGCGAAGGGGCCGGCTAGGCGCAAGGGGCCGGCTAGGGGGCGAGGGGCCAGCGACGGCGCAAGGGGCTGGCGACGGCGCGAAGGGGGCCGGCTAGGCGCGAGGGGGGGGCGGCTAGGCGCGGAGGGGCCGGCTAGGCGCGAAGGGGCCGGCTAGGCGAGAGGTGCCAGCTAGGCGCGAGGGGCCAGCTAGGCGCGAAGGGGGCCGGCTACGGCGCTAGAGGGGCCGGGTGGGCGCGATAAGGGCCGGCGAGGTGCGGTAGGCTAGGGCACGGGGCGGAAGCGGGTGGGGGGGGACCTAACCTACTCATGATACCATGTTGAAATACTTGAATGGAATAGAATCAATGGTGAACAAGGGAAATATAGGGTTGGAATTGTACTCTCTAAGAGCATCACCTATCCAGCCTATAACTTCTACGTACTAACATACGTATAAATTGACAGTAATAAATCAATTATGATTCAATATGATTGAATATGATGCAACCCCCATCCTAGTGTCAGATCTCCCTACAGCCTGACCATGTACATATTACTGCATGAATCGCATTGAAGCCCCAACTAAAAGCAAGTATCTCACAACTTGGTGTCTTCTAGTAATAGATGAAACACTACTGGGAACCACAACTATTCAGGAGCCATGAGGTTACGGAACGTGTTGCTTGAGAGCTCAGAATCTGACACACCCATGTTGCCGTCCATTATGTCACGCCGGCTCATTCCTCCCGTTTGTGTCTTGCGCATCATCTGCACAAACTCGTTGTAGTCAATGGTTCCATCCTGCAAGGGAGGCGAGGGGCAGGATGAGCAAGGGAAGCAAGGGCGGGGATAAACAAGCGAGGCGAGGGCGGGGATGAGCAGGGAATGCAAAGTCTCGAGAATTGCGAGAAAGAAGCAAGCTGATCGAATCGGTAACAAAAAAGCTCCCCACCGCGTTGTTCTCATCGAATCGCATCTCCTCCATCATGGCCATGCTTGCTCAACCACAGCTTCTCACACGCCTTTGTTCTTTGTTCTGTTCCTATTCGCCCTGCCCCTCCATACCTTCCTTCCCCTACCCACCCCCACCCCCACCCCCACAGCCACAGCCACAGGCACAGGCACAGGCACAGGCACAGCACGACACTGACATTGTCATCGATCTCTTCCATCATGGCCATGACCATCCTTGCTCCACCGCAGCTCCTCAGATCGTTCAGTGCCATTCCCACTCGCCCGGCCCTCCATACCCTCTTTTCCCTACCCACACCCACACCCACACAAACCAAGGCACTCACATTGTTCTCGTCGATCTCCTCCATCATGGCCATGATCTCGTCCTTGCTGAGCCTTAGCTCCTCACACGCCTTCTGCAGCTCGTCCAGCGTGATGGTGCCGCTGCCGTCCGCGTCAAAGTACTCAAACGCCTTCAGCAGGTTCTCCTGCTTGTCGATCTTGCTCAGGTGGAGGGTGGCGGCTAGGAACTCGCCATACTCGATCTCCCCACTGTGGTCAATGTCCGTCTGTGTGGGGGGAGCGCGGGACGGCAAACAGCCGAGAGAGACGGACGACGGCAAGACAAGGGGAGAATAAGTTCAGCAGGGGGGAGGGGAGGAGGGGGAGAGCGAGGGCGGGATGGGGGAGTTTTTTGCTGCAGCTAGTTACATGCCAGAAGATGACAAGTCAACACGGCTTGTCTTGTTGTCACTTTCTAACCACTCTGTACGAGACTTATGGTACCTCTTAAGAAACACCGCTGCAGTTGCCTGCTTTTACCTCCCCAGCCTCCCCATCTTCTCCCAATCCTCCCCCAAGATACTCTTCAATCACCTCTTTGAAGGAAAGCTTCTCTGCAACCACTCTCCACGCCTCACCTCCTCCCCAGTCTCACTCACCTCTCTTCCATCATCTTCTCAATCTCTTCGCCTGTCAGGTTGCCCCAACCTTCTTGACTCTCATCAACCCTCACCTTCAAATTCCCACCCTACTCCCATTCTCACCGCACCCCACCACTTCTCACCTCCTCCATGATCTTCTCGATCTCCTCGTCTGTGAGGTTGCCGCCGACCTTCTTGAGGCCCACGCGCAGCTCCTCCAGAGTGATGGTGCCGCTGCCATCCGTGTCCATCATCTCAAACATCTCCTTCAGCCCCGCGATCTCCTCCTCCTTCAGGCCCTCTGCAATGACCTGTGTGTATCACGGGATGGCATGGCATGCATGGGAGATGATGACGCATGTATGCTATAATGCATGGGAGATGATGACGCATGTATGCTATGATGCATGGGAGATGATGATGCACAAGTTATGGAGCATGGGAGACAAAGGTGCATTGCAAAATATGGTGCATGGGTGATGGAGCATGCGACGCCATGCATGTCCAGATGAAGCAGCTCCCTCAGCCCCGTTATCCCCTCCTCCTACCTCCCGTCTGTATCCCCTGCATGGTGGCACCACTCTCCGCACAATCATAGCAGCCCTTTTAAGCTTTACCCTGGACACGAGCTGCTTCAGTCACTTGCAAGCCTGCGGGCTTTCACCACTCCACAGCGTGCTCCACTGCTCCACAGCGTACCGCACCAGTCCACACCAGGCTACACTGCTCTCACCTGCCACTCTAGTATGTTATCATCAATGTTTCACCGCTCTGCATCGCTCTCTCCTTCACAATGACTCGTTTGAGCTTGAACACGGGCATGAACTGCTTCAGTCACCTTGCACGCAACGCACCGTAAGCTTTCATGTCTCTACACCAACCTACACCATTCTCCACCGCTCGAAACAGCTGTTCACTGCACCACGCCACTCTCTACCGACCTTCATGGCGACCCGCTTGAGTTTAACCATGGACGTGAACTGCTTCAGTCTGGACAGCACCACGGGCGGCAGAGGCTCCTGTGTGGCGATGCCCGGCTCGCCCAGCCACGGATGGCCTGCAGGGGATGGACGGGGAGGGGGGCAACAGAGTGGGGGACGGGGAGGGGGGCAACAGAGTGGGGGACGGGGAGGGGGGCAGCAGAGTGGGGGACGGGGAGGGGGGCAGCAGAGTGGGGGACGGGGAGGGGGGCAGCAGAGTGGGGGACAGGGAGGGGGGCAGCAGAGTGGGGGACGGGGAGGGGGGCAGCAGAGTGGGGGACGGGGAGGGGGGCAGCAGAGTGGGGGACGGGGAGGGGGGCAGCAGAGTGGGGGACGGGGAGGGGGGCAGCAGAGTGGGGGACAGGGAGGGGGGCAGCAGAGTGGGGGACGGGGAGGGGGGCAGCAGAGTGGGGGACGGGGAGGGGGGCAGCAGAGTGGGGGACGGGGAGGGGGGCAGCAGAGTGGGGGACAGGGAGGGGGGCAGCAGAGTGGGGGACGGGGAGGGGGCAGCAGAGTGGGGGACGGGGAGGGGGGCACAGAGTGGGGGACGGGGAGGGGGGCAGCAGAGTGGGGGACGGGGAGGGGGGCAGCAGAGTGGGGGGGGGGGGGCAGCAGAGTGGGGGACGGGGAGGGGGGCAGCAGAGTGGGGGACGGGGAGGGGGGGGGCAGCAGAGTGGGGGACGGGGAGGGGGGCAGCAGAGTGGGGGACGGGGGGGGGGGGGGGGGGGGGGGGGCAGCAGAGTGGGGGACGGGGAGGGGGGCAGCAGAGTGGGGGACGGGGAGGGGGGGCAGCAGAGTGGGGGACGGGGAGGGGGGCAGCAGAGTGGGGGACGGGGAGGGGGGCAGCAGAGTGGGGGACGGGGAGGGGGGCAGCAGAGTGGGGGACGGGGAGGGGGGCAGCAGAGTGGGGGACGGGGAGGGGGGCAGCAGAGTGGGGGACGGGGAGGGGGGCAGCAGAGTGGGGGACGGGGAGGGGGGCAGCAGAGTGGGGGACGGGGAGGGGGGCAGCAGAGTGGGGGACGGGGAGGGGGGCAGCAGAGTGGGGGACGGGGAGGGGGGCAGCAGAGTGGGGGACGGGGAGGGGGGCAGCAGAGTGGGGGACGGGGAGGGGGGCAGCAGAGTGGGGGACGGGGAGGGGGGCAGCAGAGTGGGGGACGGGGAGGGGGGCAGCAGAGTGGGGGACGGGGAGGGGGGCAGCAGAGTGGGGGACGGGGAGGGGGGCAGCAGAGTGGGGGACGGGGAGGGGGGCAGCAGAGTGGGGGACGGGGAGGGGGGCAGCAGAGTGGGGGACGGGGAGGGGGGCAGCAGAGTGGGGGACGGGGAGGGGGGCAGCAGAGTGGGGGACGGGAGGGGGGCAGCAGAGTGGGGGACGGGGAGGGGGGCAGCAGAGTGGGGGACGGGGAGGGGGGGGGGGGGGGGGGGGGGGGGGGGGGGGGGGCAGCAGAGTGGGGGACGGGGAGGGGGGCAGCAGAGTGGGGGACGGGGAGGGGGGCAGCAGAGTGGGGGACGGGGAGGGGGGCAGCAGAGTGGGGGACGGGAGGGGGGCAGCAGAGTGGGGGACGGGGAGGGGGCAGCAGAGTGGGGGACGGGGAGGGGGCAGCAGAGTGGGGGACGGGGAGGGGGCAGCAGAGTGGGGGACAGGGAGGGGGCAGCAGAGTGGGGGACGGGGAGGGGGGCAGCAGAGTGGGGGACGGGGAGGGGGGCAGCAGAGTGGGGGACGGGGAGGGGGCAGCAGAGTGGGGGACGGGAGGGGGCAGCAGAGTGGGGGACGGGGAGGGGGCAGCAGAGTGGGGGACGGGAGGGGGGCAGCAGAGTGGGGACGGGGAGGGGGCAGCAGAGTGGGGGACGGGGAGGGGGGCAGCAGAGTGGGGGACGGGAGGGGGCAGCAGAGTGGGGGACGGGGAGGGGGCAGCAGAGTGGGGGACGGGGAGGGGGCAGCAGAGTGGGGACGGGGAGGGGGGCAGCAGAGTGGGGGACGGGGAGGGGGCAGCAGAGTGGGGACGGGGAGGGGGCAGCAGAGTGGGGACGGGAGGGGGGCAGCAGAGTGGGGACGGGGAGGGGGGCAGCAGAGTGGGGGACGGGGAGGGGGGCAGCAGAGTGGGGGACGGGGAGGGGCAGCAGAGTGGGGGACGGGGAGGGGGGCAGCAGAGTGGGGGACAGGGAGGGGGGCAGCAGAGTGGGGGACGGGGAGGGGGGCAGCAGAGTGGGGGACGGGGAGGGGGGCAGCAGAGTGGGGGGGGGGGGGGGGGGGGGGGGGGGGGCAGCAGAGTGGGGGACGGGGAGGGGGGCAGCAGAGTGGGGGACGGGGAGGGGGGCAGCAGAGTGGGGGACGGGGAGGGGGCAGCAGAGTGGGGGACGGGGAGGGGGGCAGCAGAGTGGGGGACGGGAGGGGGGCAGCAGAGTGGGGGACGGGGAGGGGGGCAGCAGAGTGGGGGACGGGGAGGGGGGCAGCAGAGTGGGGGACGGGGAGGGGGCAGCAGAGTGGGGGACGGGGAGGGGGGCAGCAGAGTGGGGGACGGGGAGGGGGCAGCAGAGTGGGGGACGGGAGGGGGGCAGCAGAGTGGGGGACGGGGAGGGGGCAGCAGAGTGGGGGACGGGAGGGGGGCAGCAGAGTGGGGGACGGGGAGGGGGGCAGCAGAGTGGGGACGGGGAGGGGGGCAGCAGAGTGGGGGACGGGGAGGGGGGCAGCAGAGTGGGGACGGGGAGGGGGGCAGCAGAGTGGGGGACAGGGAGGGGGGCAGCAGAGTGGGGGACGGGGAGGGGGGCAGCAGAGTGGGGGACGGGGAGGGGGGCAGCAGAGTGGGGGACGGGGAGGGGGGCAGCAGAGTGGGGGACGGGGAGGGGGGCAGCAGAGTGGGGGACGGGGAGGGGGGCAGCAGAGTGGGGGACGGGGAGGGGGGCAGCAGAGTGGGGGACAGGGAGGGGGGCAGCAGAGTGGGGGACGGGGAGGGGGGCAGCAGAGTGGGGGACGGGGAGGGGGGCAGCAGAGTGGGGACGGGGAGGGGGCAGCAGAGTGGGGGACGGGGAGGGGGGCAGCAGAGTGGGGGACGGGGAGGGGGGCAGCAGAGTGGGGGACAGGGAGGGGGGCAGCAGAGTGGGGGACGGGGAGGGGGGCAGCAGAGTGGGGGACGGGGAGGGGGGCAGCAGAGTGGGGGACGGGGAGGGGGCAGCAGAGTGGGGGACGGGGAGGGGGCACCAGAGTGGGGGACGGGGAGGGGGGCAGCAGAGTGGGGGACAGGGAGGGGGCAGCAGAGTGGGGGACGGGGAGGGGGGCAGCAGAGTGGGGGACGGGGAGGGGGGCAGCAGAGTGGGGGACAGGGAGGGGGGCAGCAGAGTGGGGGACGGGGAGGGGGGCAGCAGAGTGGGGGACGGGGAGGGGGGCAGCAGAGTGGGGGACGGGGAGGGGGCAGCAGAGTGGGGACGGGGAGGGGGCAGCAGAGTGGGGGACGGGGAGGGGGGCAGCAGAGTGGGGGACAGGGAGGGGGGCAGCAGAGTGGGGGGCGGGGGGCGAGGGAAGGGGCGCAGGGGACGTGTGCCATGAGGGTTCAGGCGCCACAAAGCAGAGGCTCCAGCATGGCGGCGCCAGGCTCGCCCAGCCACGGATGGCCTGCAGGGGATGAGGAGAGGAGGGGGATGGTGGGGGGGGAGAAGGGGAGGGGGGGGAGGGAGAGCGGGGGAGTGCAGGGGACGTGTGCGATGAGCATTTGGGCGCCTCGAAGCAGAGGCTCCTGCGTGGCGATGTTAGGCTCACCCAGCCACGGACGGTTTGCAGGGGATGGGGAGCGGAGGGGGATGGGGGGGTTGGAGAATGGGGGGCGTGTGTGAGGGGATTTGATGCAGGTCATAGCAGAGGCTCCTGTGTGGCGACGCTAGGCCCACCCTAGCAGGGGATGGGGAGAGGAGGGTGGATGGGCGGATGGGGGGGGGAGAGGGGGATGGTTGGGAGAAAAGAAAGAGATGGTTGGCGGCTCTTTTAAACCAGAGCACGAGTTTAAGATGTTCCTCTCTGTGCGCTGTGATGTGGAGGATCGAAGATGCAGCTTCCAGCTGTTCGTTTTGTGTGCAGCGGGGCATGTGATGTGACGAGGTGGAAGGGCAGCAACCAGGACACGAGGAGCTTGCAAGGGGATGGGGCTGATCCCTGTGGCAGTGGCACTAACACAGCAGTTCCAGTGGCTCCGGCAGCACTCACACAGCATCCCTCATGCCACGGTGGGGCGCATGGCGGGGTTGGACTGCAGCATCCAGGACACGAGATGCTGGCAGTGGGGATTAGTTGGGCAGTGCTAGCAGTGCTGGCAGTGGGGATAAGGGCAGTGCTGACAGTGGGGGTTAGGGCAGTGCTGGCAGTGGGGGTTAGGGCAGTGCTGACAGTGGGGGTTAGGGCAGTGCTGACAGCGGGGGTTAAGGCAGTGCTGACAGTGGGGGTTAGGGCAGTGCTGACAGTGGGGTTTAGGGAAGTGCTGACAATGGGGGTTAGGGTAGTGCTGACAGTGGGGGTTAGGGCAGTGCTGACAGTGCTGGCAGTTCTGGCAGTGGGGATTAGGGCAGCGCTGGCAGTGCTGGTGGTGGGTAGTGTGACCTGCGATTCACTCACAGAGCACTTCATGCGCGGTGGGGCGCATGGCGGGGTCGGACTGCAGCATCCACGACACGAGGTGCTTGGCCTGGTCGGAGATCTCAGGCCACGGCGGCACCGAGAAGGACGGGTTGCCCTTCAGCACGGCCTTGAAGATCTCCTTGGACGAGTGGCTGCCTGCGGATGGGCGGATTGACAGGGAGGTGGAGAGGGGAAGAAACGCCGTGGTGTGAGGCATGGTCTCAGGATGCGGCACAGAGGATGGGAAGGACGAGTTGGCCTTGAACACGGCCTTGCAAGGTCGTCTCCTTGGATGAGTGGCTGCCTGTAGGCGGGTGGAGCAGAAACGGTGGGACGACGGGTACAGCAGCACTCAACAAGGTGTGCCAACGGGTAGCTCCATGCTGGCTAAAGGTGTTCCAACCTTAGCAGTCATGAATCATGACGCGGGGGGGGGGGGAGGGAGGACTTGATGAGACAGGCCGTGGTAAGGCAAGCAGGAACCACCTACTGTGGCAGAACGAGGGGAATAAGTAACTGCAACAAGGAGACAATCACGTACAGTGCCAGACGACGTACAGTGCCAGTCGACGTACAGTGCCAGACGACGTACAGTGCCAGTCGACGTACAGTGCCAGACGACGTACAGTGCCAGTCGACGTACAGTGCCAGTCGACGTACTGTGCCAGACGACGTACTGTGCCAGTCGACGTACAGTGCCAGACGACGTACAGTGCCAGACGACGTACAGTGCCAGACGACGTACAGTGCCAGACGAGTACTGTGCCAGACGACGTACTGTGCCAGACGACGTACTGTGGTAGAAAGGCGGGAACCCCGAGAGCAGCGCATAGATGATGACCCCCGCGCTCCAGATGTCCACTTCGGGGCCGTACTTGGGCGGCTTGCGCCCCGCCCCCAGGGCGCCGGGCCTCCATCTGACCACCTCTGGCGCCATGTACATGGGGCTGCCGCAGTGGCGACTCAAACCCTCGCCTGGTTGGGCGGATGGAGGGGAACGAGACCGGAGGGGGGGGTGTGGTGAGGCTTTGGGGGAGAGGGAGGAGCGAAACGGAGAAGCGGGAGGAGCGCATAGACGACGGCCAAAGAGGAGAGCATGGAGCTCGGGAGGGAGGTGACTGGGGGGGGGGATGAGCTTAGATGGTATGGAGTGCAAAAAGGGGCAGAGCAGCACGGCGCACCTCAATGAAAGCCCTTGTGGCGGAATTTCGCACCTTTGTAGAAGGCGGAGAGGCCGAAGTCGGTGGCCTTGAGCTCGGCGTCGGGGTCGGTAGAGGAGAGCAGGAAGTTCTCGGGCTTGAGGTCGCGGTGCACCACGCCCAGCGAGTGGCACGTCTCCACCACGCGAACTATCACCTTCGCCAGCTCCGCCGCGTCGTGCTCGCTGGAGTGGGGAGACAGGAGGCGGTGGGGGAGGGGGGAGGGAGGAGGGGGGAGAGGGAAAGAAGAGGTTATTTACCTCCACTACGCACATGACCATGCCAGCTCTGTTGCGCCTTGTTGCCTGGGAGCGAGGGATGGGGGGGAGGGAGGAGAACGAAGATAGCGTCGACGGTGCTCAATGCGGTCGACGTTTGTGTTGTGGGGCTCGCCACCCATGCAGAGACTTGTGAGCTGTGATGGCATCTTATAACGAGATTTACGTGTACGGGACGGCTTACAGCGGGACTCACGTGTCGGGCACGTCTTATAGCGGGACTCGTGTGTAGGGCACGCCCTTAGAGCGGGCTTAAGCGGGACTCACGTGTAGGGCACGCCCATGGCCTCGATGCGGTCGATGATGGTGTCGTAGAGCTCGCCGCCCGTGCAGAGCTCCATGACGATGTGCACGAAGTCGCGGTCCTCGTACGCCCCGCGGATGTTCACGATGTTGGGCGAATCCTGCAGGGAGGGGGGGGGGTGAGAGCCGGCGGAGGGGGGGGAGAGCGGGCGGAGAGGCGGGGAGAGCGGGCGGAGAGGCGGGGAGAGCGGGCGGAGAGGAGGGGAGAGAGGGTAGAAGGGGGGAGAAGGGGAGAGAAGGGGAGAGAAGGGGAGAGAAGGGAGAGCGGGCGGAGAGGCGGGGGTTCATCACCTATGTTCACGACGTTGGGCGAGTCGTGAAGGGGGGAGAGAAAGGGGACAGGGCACGGTGTAAGCCACCCACGCTGCTGTCGCCCGACGCACGTCCCACGTTTTCGCCCCCACTCACTGTTATCCGCTTCTCGTTCTCGTTTTCCGACCTCTTCTTCTCGTTCTCGCCTTCTCTCCCTTACACCAAAATTGACCCTCGTTTTCCCTTCCACGGATCTAACGTCACTGGCAATGTCATGGCGACCTCCCCGCGCACGTCTTCGATGTCGTCCTCCGTGAGCAGCCTCGACGTGCCCGCCGACGTGCCTGCTGCACGCGAAGGTAGCACCTGGGGGGGGGTGACGCACCTGGAGAGGGGGACGCACCTAGACAGGGGGGACGCACCTAGACAGGGGGGACGCACCTAGACAGGGGGGACGCACCTAGACAGGGGGGACGCACCTACACAGGGGGGACGCACCTACACGGGGGGGACGCACCTGGACGGGAAAGCATCACGGGAGGGACGCACCTGCACGTGGTAGAGGATGGCGACTTCTCGGCGCACGTCCTCGACGTCGTCCTCCGTGAGCAGCTTGGACTTGGGGATGGTCTTGCACGCCCAGTGCACGCCCGTCGCCCGCTCCGTGCAGATGTACGTCGTGCCGAACTGCCCCGCGCCCAGCTGCTGCCCGATGTCGAAAATGTCGTGGATGTTCTCTGGCCGGGGGGGGGGAGGAGGGAGAGGGGGGGGGGGGATGGATGTGAGAGTGAACGGGGGAAGTGCATTAGCACGGTTCCCTTGACACCGGAAAATGTCGCGAATGTTCTCTGGTGGGGGGGGAGATGGATGTAAGAGTGGGCTAGGGGGAATGCGATAACATGGTTCCCAGGTGGCACCGGGAAATGTCGTGGGTGTTCCCTGATGGGCGGATGGATGCACGCACACGTGAGTGGTTAGGGAGAATGACGCGGCTGTTCTCTGCTTGGACTACGAATGGCGCGTGGACATATTGACTTTTGAGTCCACTCAAAAGTCACCTGTCTACGAATAGCGCGGGGACATGCAATGCAATGGAGTGGGTTACGGTCGACGCAGGAATGGGTGAGTGGAATGTGTGGCAGTTTTCCGATCCATGGATGTATGAGTGGCTGGGTGAATTGCGGTAACATGGTTTGCGTGACACAGAAATATGTCATGAGTGGTCGCCGCTTGACGGATGAACAGAATGGTGGTTAGGGAACAGTCGTAAAATGTCGGGATCCTCGCAGATTGACCCGGGGATGCTTCGAGAAACAGGACGTCTAGCAAGCATGGAGGTTACGGAGACTAAGGAAAGCGGTCGTTATGGGAGGAAGTTCAACGGTCGTTATGCATGACGAAGCAGAATGGGAGCAGGGAGATTGCTGTCGGAGGAGGCGAAAAGGGGAGGACGTCTTAGGAGGGGAGGGTAATGCGAACGATAACGCGGACGCACCATTATGGCCAGGCCCGAGAACGCTCTTTGTTGACGGCCGAGATGACTTTCCCTGCACCAAAAACGAGAAAGAGAAAAGGAGAAACTTCAACGGCTGTTCCACCTTCTGCAAACGCCATGACAGTTGCAGAATAGAGCAAATCCGCTTCGTTCTATTCTATGATGCTGCCACTTGATGCGGTTGGGTATGAGAATGACCATGCGACCATTCCTAACGTCGATGAGGTAACCTCGGTAGAGTCCTTGTTCCGACAAATGCACATCCGGCAGATCTATATTAACAAGGAATAGCAATGCACGTGCGTTCGCTCGTCATGACATTCGCAAAGTCCCGTGGGAAAATGGGCGTGCGAGCTACACATTGTCTGGCAGGAATTCAACTCACAGATGCCATCCCGGAGAGAGCGTCTATCCTTCAGTCAGTGGAGCAGTCCGTTTGCGCAAGGAGGAGCAGTGGATTAAAACTAATTTCTCATACCACTGAGCACATGAAGCTCGTAGCACGGATAGGGGGAAATGAACGAAGATAGGAAAAAAGGCCAAGGGTGAAAAAGGCGCAAATGAAGCCAAAAGAAAGTGATAAGTGCAAGGGACCAGGCTACTGGGAGGGGAGTTGTTGAGAATCAGAGCGGGAAACCTTGATGTTGTCGCGGGCTTGAGGGATTGGGGGAAGGGCTGGGGATGAGGGGAAAGACTCTTCTTGTCTCGGTGAGGGTGGTGGTGAGCCAGGGAAAGGGGTGCTGCGCGTGTCCAACGTGGAGGTCGGAGATGACGGGGGCAAAGGCGCCGGGGGAGGGAGGAGGCGGAGCAGTGGCTCAGGAACAGAAGTCAGGAACGCGGAGACGGTCTTTTGGCGGAACGCAGTGCGAACGCGGAGGGCAGACACTTCCAGGTTGACTGGGACCAACGTGGTGGAGGAGGTCAGATGGCTGATGATGATGGCATTCAGCATTGGATTGGAAGCTGTTCGTTGATCTTGAAAGCCCCTTGAACAGGGCATGATGTTAGACACACAAATTATACATCAGCGCTTCGGAGAAGCCCCTAATTTCCCCCATTATAATCATCGGACTGCCATTGTAACAGACTTTGCTCACCTGACCACAGGGAAACCCCTTTTTTTTAGGAACGAAATAACGGCCATGATACTTTTAGAAAACATAGTTGCAAAAGAGACACCCCATCCAAACACGCCCTCTGCACCCCTTATTGGCACGACACAAATGGCTGACTCTACGGTATCTTTGATCTCAATTTTGAGGTAATGAATCCAGGGAATGCTAACGCTGTTGCTAAAACACTCATAGGTGGCTTGACTGCAAAATTTCACCCCAACATAATCAAACCGCCCTAAAAAGACCTCTGAGCACAATACCCTCCTCTTGGCCATGCATCTGACAATCTCCACAAGACAGCCTTGCACATTCTCAACCCACTGATCTCAAGGGGATATGAGCTGGCTGGCACCTCTAGCACTTGTTTAGTGCGTTGGTATAATTTCTCACAGAACACTGTTGCTGGGTGGGAAACCAGGAGCTCGGGTTTCAAGAAGCAATCAGCCCAGTCTCGGGTTGGGGGAAGGGTGATGACGATGTGGCAGATGCTGAGCTGGAGCAGGGCGAGGTGGATGGTGATAAGGGCAATGGGAGTGGCTGGTGCAGCGGGCAGGTGCTGGGAAGGTAGCTGCGAAGGTGCTGGGAAGGTTCTGGAAGGTGCATGGTGGTGAGGTGTGCCGTGCTGTTGTTGGGAGCATACTGCAGGCTACAGGTGGCAGGCCGGCACTGCTGCACTTAGACAAGCTGCATTGGAGCAGCAGGGCAGGTGCGTTTAGACAAGTTGGATTGGTGATGTTGCAGGGCAAAAGGGGAGCGGGGAGGAGGCCCACAGCTATATCGAGGGGAAACTGAGCGAGAAGAGTGAGAGGAGGAGATGAGAGGCGAGTGTGCTCCATGGGGGCTGCATCAGCCAGCAGCAGGTGGCCCTCAGGCGGTGGGGCGAGTCATGAGGGAGGAGCCCCGGCCGTAGCTGACTGTGCCGGATGGTGATACTGGCTCTGAAGGGAATGAGGCAGTGGAAGAGGGATCGGAGGGTGGGGATGGGGGGGATTAATCGACTCAAGTATTGTGCAAGCAGGGGGGTCTTGAGAAAGGAGGAAATGGGAGCAGGGGAGGGGCGAGAGCAGGCGAAGAACAGAGCATTGATTGTCCAGAACACCTCGACTATACGCCCACATCACCTCACTACCGGCTCACTCACCTGCATCGCTCGCATCGCTCTCGCTCCCAGCCGAGTCAGCATCGGACCCAACGGCCCCGGCAACACCAATGCACGTAAACACGCTGGCATCATCCAGCGGGATGTGGTTGTAGACGGTGTAGATGTCGTCGACGCTGGTGATCTCGTAGATGCACGGCAGGTCCGCTATGCACGACACCGTCTTGCGCGGCACGTAGTCGCACTGCAGGTGCGTCAGCATGCCCAGCCAGTACGCGTTGTCCTTCAGGTCCGACTCGTGCCGCATGATCAGCGTGCGCTTGGCCTGCATCGGACGGGGAAGAGGGGAGGCGCATGGCAGGTGAGTCAGCATACCCAGCAAGTGCGCATTATCCTTCAGGTCGGCTTCCTGCCTCAAGATGAGAGTGCACCTGGCCTCAAAGGGGGGTGGGGCAGGGAGCAGGGAGCGGAGAGGTGGCAGGTCCGTTATACACGACACACGCGCCATGCCATCGCTCTGCAGGTACGTCAGCATGCCCAGCCAATAGGTCCTTCAGGTCCGACTCATGACGCGTGATCATGAGTGGCGCGTGGACTATTCCCAGCATTGCATGAGTGGCGCGTGGACTATTCCCAGCATTGCATGAGTGGCGCGTGGACTATTCCCAGCATTGCATGAGTGGCGCGTGGACTATTCCCAGCATTGCATGAGTGGCGCGTGGACTATTCCCAGCATTGCATGAGTGGCGCGTGGACTATTCCCAGCATTGCATGAGTGACGGACTCAAAAGCACTACGGAACGGACTCAAAAGCACTACGGAACGTACCCGGTCCAGCTCCCTCCGCATGCCCCCCAACATACCCGGTCCAGCTCTCTCTGCGAGATGCGGTTGGCCTGCAGCCCCTTGAGAACGTTCAGGGAAGCTTCCACGGCCTGTTGGATCTTGGCGGGAGTGGAGGTGACGCTGATGCAGAACCACCCGGTGGCCAGGCGGTCAAAGAGGGAGATCTCGAAGTTGACGTCGTACGTCAGACCAAGAGCGTCTCGCACTGTGGTGAACAGGCTGTTGGGGTGGGTCAAGTGGAGACACGAGAGGAGAAACGAGCAAGGCTGGAGATGCTGCTGATGCAGAACCACCCGGTGGCCAGGCGGTCAAAGAGCGAGATCTCAAAGTTGACATCGTACGTGAGGCGGGGCCCAGTGCATCCCGGCCCGTTGTGAAGGGGCTGTATGGGGTGGTGGGGGAATCAAAGGAGACACTACAGGGCGAGCGAGCGAGGGTGGAGTGGAGGTGACGCTGATGCCGAAGCAGATCCAATGCATCACCCCATGCAGTGAATACACAGCACAACACACCCCCACGCACACCCACACCCACACCCACCGTGCGTTGACGATCTCCTGCAGCAGCAGCACCCCCACGGACGTGTACAGCGGGTGCCGCCGCCGGTGCCAGTACTTGCGCCCGTCCGCCCCCTCCACCACCGCCGTCCCCAGCGGCGACACTGCCACCGCCTGCGCATCTGCCCAAGGGGAGACACACAAGCACGGATGGGGTAGCAGCAGGATGGGGACGAAGGAGGGGGGCAGCTCGGGGGGATGAGAGGGCAGATCAGCTGTATACCAGCAGCATCCAGATATCGGGTAGGTCTTGTCGGGGAGGTGGTGGTGGTGGGGTAAGCAGAGCGAGGGGCGATGTAGAGGAGAATGGGGAAGAAGGATGGGAGAGGGAGGAGCGAGGATGAGGAGAGAGGGAGGAGCGAGGATGAGGGGAAGGGGAGGAGCGAAGGTGAGGAGAGGGGGAGGAGCGAGGGAGCCCGAGACTTACCATGGTCTCCTACAAGGCTGCCCTCGCCCCTCCCACCTCCTGCGGGACCCACTGCTCCTCTTGCTCCATGTCCCGCTGCCTGGTTCTGGTTGCTGCCGCGCCCCATGCTGAAGAGGTGCCGCATCGCTCGCGCCAACAGAGGGCCCTCATCTGCTGTTGCAGCTGCTGCTGGTGAAGCTAGCCGAGTGGTGGTGGTGGTGGTGATGATGGTGGTGGTAATGGTGGTGGTCACTTAGTAAGTATGGGTGTCATTTGAGGTAAAGATATGGCTGCAATCGATTGTGAATGGATTAGTTCAGACATTTAACCATGCCGTGTTGGCAATTTGCAAAGCACTGGAAGGTGAGAGCGAGAGTTCAGAGGGGCAGAAAGGAAGGGAAGAAAACACGAGGCAGGCACTTCAATGGCAGCACCACACGAACGCGACAAGGTTCAGCCACTACGTGCAGTCACGCACCATAACCATTCATGCACCATACCCATTCGTACAGCCACACACCGATGGTGAGCATACCTGTGTAGCCAGGAGGAATGGGCTCCAGAATTGTGTTAATATCCCGCCCGTCTGGAGCGTATCCCCATCGGTTCGGCGCCGGACCTGCGATGTAGGCTCGGGCCCTCTCGTCTGTGTCACGTAGGAGCACCTGGGAAAGGGCAAGTGCGTCGGATTCAGAGAAACAAGTACCGTGGTAGTCAGTACAGCCAGTGCAGTCACGGGAGGGATGCAGTTGAGTAACGAGAGGTAGTCAATGGAGCGTCATGCACAGTACCTGACAATGGCAGTGCCGCGCCATTGCACGATAGAGACTCTGTTCACTGCCGTGAGCATGGCAGGGTGTACTGCGCTGAGCATGGCACAGTGTACTGCATTGCTAACAAGAGCAGTCCGCACAGTGTATCGGTCTTACAATGGCACCGAAGTTGACCCATGAGATTACCTTCTGGTGTCATGGTGCAGGAGGTGATGAAGAAGCCGTTTAGAAGGGCGACTCCCCAGGAAGGGAGAGAGCACGGGGTGCCGGAGGAGGGACGCCTCATTCTGAGGTACCTTTAGTGCGGCACACCTTTGGTGGAGCGTACCTTCTGATGCCGCAGTGCAGGCGGGCACGAAGAAATCATTTTGAAAGGCGGCTCCCCCGGGAGGGTGAGCACCGGGGGCGGGTGGAGCGGGGGGAGCACGGTGGTGGAGGGAGGAGCAGGGGCGGAGGGGTCGTTGGGGGGGAGGAAGGCGAAGGGCGAGACGACGGAGGAGGGGGCGGGGAGGGCAGTGACGGTGCCGAGGTACTTGAGGATGTTGTCGCTCATCTCCTCCTCGTTGAAGTCGCCCACTATGCTCAGCTGTACAGCCACGGGGAAGGGGGAGCGGGCACGGGTCAGAGGAAGCGGTAAAGAGGTGAGAGGAGGGTGAGAGGAGCGGGACGGGAGGGCGGCGAAGGTGCCGAGGTACTTGAAGTCATCCACTATGCTCAGCTGCAAGAAGCAAGGGAGGTTGTGAAGGCACGGGGCCCACAGTCAGACAACGAGGGGAGCGCGGTGAGTGACAGTGCCGAGGTACTAGGGGATGCTGTCGCTGGTCTCGCCCTCGTTCAAGTCTCCGACCATGCTCAGCTGTGGAGCCACGAGGGAGGGGCAGCAAGAGAGAATGAGAAGGCGAGATGAGAGGCAGGGGCAACGAGGTGGATGCTGCATGCAGGCAGGGAAGAACCCAAGGGGGGGAAGGGGGAAAAGGGGGGGGGGGGGGGGAGAGGGGGGTTAGTTGAAGGCAGGGTCAGAAGAAGGAGCATAGGGGTGGCTGTTTTACTTATCCTTACGGCTGCTGCTCAGGTGCAAGCACGCACCCGTGGCACGGGGGGCACGGGCAGGCGACGGGGTGGTGTGGGGGAACCCGGGTGGGTGGGTGGGGGAGGGGGTGGGGGACCGGGGGGTGTGGGTGAACCCGGGGGCGGGGGAGAGAGAAGGGGGTGGGGGGCCGGGGGGTGTGGGGGATTCGGAAGGCAGTGGCAGCGGGAGAGGCAAGATTGGATGGCAGATGGATGGTGGTGTGAGGGCATAACCTCTCTAGATGACTAACAACAAAAACGCCAAGGTTTGAAGAACGCACCTCAATGTTCCCCGACAGCAGCGCCGCATGACGGCACACACCACACCACACCACACCTCATCAAACCGCACTGCACCACTACCTCTGCTACACGCACCTCAATGTTCCCCGACAGCAGTGCTGCATGATGGCGCACACCACACCACACCATACCTCATCAAACCGCACCACACCACTACCTCTGCACGCACCTCAATGTTCCCCGACAGCAGCTGTTGCATGACCGCGTGGCGCACAGTGTCGAGCGAGAGGTTGGACACGATGGCGGGGTGCGGGTCCAGCAGGCGGGTGTCCCCGTCGAACATGGCGCCCATCAGCTTGCTCGCTGTCAGCCGCTCCAGGCTCTTGGGGAGAGACCTGAATTAGGGTATAAGGTTCCGGGTTTCGGGTGTAGGGTATAGCCCAGCAGGGAACGGAAAGGATCACAGCATGAAGGGGGGGGTGGGGGGTCCAGCATGCAGGTGTCGACGTTGAACATGGCACCCATCAGCGAGGAGCAAGGGGGGGGTGCACATGATGAGGAGAGCGGATGGAGAGGCACATTTGAACTGTTCCCCTTGACACGCCGACATGCATCAATCACACGGACTGGGTTGCTAACAGGGGAGAAATGCACTGTGCACTGCACTGCACTGCACTGCACCGCACCGCACTGCACTGCACCGCACCGCACTGCACTGCACGCACCTGTAGAAGGAGAGGTACGCCTGCTTGGCTCGCTCCAGAGCATCCTCGTCCCACGCTGGATGCTGCACGCCCAGCACAGGAGAGTGCGGAAAGGAGGTGGGGGCAGGAGGCGTAAGTCGGAGCGGAGACAGAAGAGGGTACGATGGGGAAAGACGAGGACATTGAAGGGGGGGAAAGGTAAGAGTGCTATTCGTAAAAAGGGAATGAGAGAGGCGAGGAGAGGGAGAGGCTGGCATTGGCTCAGTGTATCATTGCTTAGGTGGATTCGGTTGATTGCTCAAGGCCTTCATCAGCGCACGGTGTGTGCAGTGCATTGGCTGACAATTGCCCAGTGCATAAACCATGAACCCCGATCATCACACCTGCAGCATATAGCGCAATTACCAGCACCAGCATGTGCATCGCCCCATCACACCATCACACCATCACACCATCGCCCCATCACACCATCACTACCTGCAGCGTTTAGCACCATTACCTGCAGCAGCATGTGCATCACACCATCACCCCATCATTACCTGCAGCTGCATGTGCCTCACCCCATCACCCCCGTCCCTACCTGCAGCAGCATGTGCAGCAGCTGGAAGGAGGATTTGAGTCCGCCGTATCGCGTGGAGAAGTGCAGATCCAGCGCCACGCACTCTTCGTCCGCCTCCAGCATGCAGTTCACCAGATTGGCCAGGCAGAAGAGCTCCACCTGGGAGAAGGATGGGGTTACAATGGGGGAATGGGACAGGAGCACAGGGTAGGGGCGAGATTCAGGCTTAGAGCCATGCACTCCTCGGGGCATGCACACCTCGTCCGCCTCCAGCATGCAGTTCACCAGATTGGCCAGGCAGAAGAGCTCCACCTGGGGGGAAGGCAAAAGCATTGGGTTAACACGAGGCGAATGGGACAGGAGCACATGGTAGGGGCACATGGTAGAGAGCCCGCTTCCAGCATGCAGTGCACTTGGCTGGCTGGACAGAACAGGTCCACCTGGGGGGAGAAGAGAGGGCGACTTTTGAGTCGACTGAAAGCTGGCCGGACAGAACAGGTCCACCTGGGGGGAGAAGAGAGGGCGTGGGTGGGGTTGAGAAGGGGGAGAGGGACAGCAGCAGGCCAGACAGCAGCAGACCAGACGGTTGGGATGGGAGGTGCTGGTGGAAAGCCACACACTCCTCGTCCGCTCTAGCATGCAGTTCACATGAGGGGCGGGACGAGCAAGGGATAACGAAGGAAATTCGGATGGGGAAGTTGGCTACAAAACAGGGAGCACGAGAGGTCTTCAGAAGCTTTTGATACAATCAAATCACCTCTCTCTGGCTTCACAATCAAATCACCCCTCTCCGGCTTCACAATCAAATCACCCCTCTCCAGCTCTACTCGCCACTCTCCCTCTCACTCACCTGCTCCCTGCTGCAGTCCCCCACGCCCCCCCCCTCACCGAGCTCCCCCACAGCTCTACTCGCCACTCTCCCTCCCACTCACCTGCTCTCTGCTGTAGTCGCCCACTCGCCCCGCCTCACTGAGCGTCCTCACGCCCACCGCCACCTCGCCTGCGGCCTGCGGGTTCTCCTTGGCGCGCCCCCCTGGGAACACCAGCCGCAGCACGCCGCCCTTGGCCTCATTGTCCGTCGCCTGCTTGGGTTTAGGAGTGGCAGGGGGGATGTGGGAGGGAGGGGTGTGAGGGACAGGGGCGACAGGGAGACTCAAGGAGTGGTACGCCTGGGAGCAACAGGTGCAGCACGCCGCCCTTGGCCTCGTTGTCCACCGCCTGTTTAGGTTGTTAGGGGGTGGCGGAGAAGGGATACAAGGGGGAGTTGAAGCTGGCGATGCAATGCATCCCAACCACCACACTTCTCACCATCATATTCACATCACTCGGGTCCCATTGCTCAACCCTCGCTGGCTGGATGATGCCTGCACCCCAAAACCCCTCCCCATCCTCCCCCCCCTCCCCCAACACATTCATGCTCGCTGCATCATAGCACACCCCCCCACCATCGCCTCTCAGCTTTCTGTTCACCACCCACCGCCCACCGCACAGCACCGCTCTGCTCACCTTCATGTTGACGCGGATGCCATTGCTGAGCCGCCTCTGGATGATGCCCGTCTCCTTGTTGTACTGCCGCACGCGCCACTCGGACGGCGCCACGTCAGCAGCGTTGCCCTCTGTGGGCGGGAACGGCACGAACCGCGGCTGGATCTTCTGCTGCAGCGCTGCCAGCTCAGCATCGGATATGAGCGTCCGGGGCACCTCCACCTGGGATAGAAGGGAGTTGAAGGGGGTGGGATTTGGGTGAAGGGGTTGGGAGGAGGGGGGGAAGGGGGGGGGGATGAGGTTGGAAACAGATGTCGGTTGCCAGCTCAGCGTGAAAGATGAGGGTCCGGGGCACCTCCACCCGGGGCTCAACAAGGAAAGGGAAATTGAAGGGTTTCGGGTTTAGGGGAAAGAGGGAGGGGAGGGGGGGGGGGAGAGAGGAGGGGGTCTGTGGGAAACCACAAATGTTGGCTTGGCTGTATCTGTTGCTGCAGCACTGCCAGCTCAGCATCCAAAATGAGGCTCCTCAGCACTCACATCCCCAGAAATCACATCCTCTACACTTACAGTCCCTACACTCACATCTTTCCCCTCGCAGTGCTCACCTCGTCCTCAGGCTGCACGTCCTCCCTGAGCCCCGCCAGCAGCGCATCCCTCACTGCCTCTGGGGTGATCTCAAACGCCACATCGCTGGACGCCGACACAGATGAGGAAGCGGAGTTGGATGCTACCGCCCCATTCCCACTCCCACTCCTCCCCTCTCCCTCCACGCCCTCCTCCCTCCTCCCCTCCACCCCCTGCACGTGCATCCTCGTCGGCACGCACACCACGATCGCAGCCGGCCTCGGCGCCTCCCTCTGCCCATACTCCGCGATGAACTCCAGCACCTCCGCCGCCGCCTCGTTCACATCCTCCAGCTCAATGGTGGGCGCGATGGCCGACAGGCACTCGTAGCTCTGCTCGGGGTCCAGCACGGCGTGGCCCAGGGCGAAGCTCTCCATGAGGAAGTCGAGGGAGTCGATGGAGTGGATGGAGTCGATCATGGCCGCGTTGTGCTCGCTGTCGCGCACCATCGTCGTCACGTACCGGGCCAGTTCCCCCCGCGTGAGCCCAAACTGCTGCAAGCGCCGCACCTCCTGCAGGGCCACGGTGAGCGCCGCCTGCCAGTCGGCGGGCTCCGCTGTGACGGTGAGCGTGGTGACCGTGCACCCCTCCCTGCCGCTGTCGCTGTGGTCCAGGTCTACCCCTAGGAAAGGCACTGTGCCGTTCTGAAAAAGAGGGGGGAGAGTTGGTAAGGGAAAGAGCGACATGGGAAGAACGCAAGGGGCGGAGAGTGTGGTGGCCGTGGCGAGCCGTCCCGTTAAGAAGGCAAGGGAGTATGGGAAGGGAAGGAGACACACAGGATCAGCAGAAAGTATTGAACGTGGGAAGACGGGTGATGCGACACGGTCACACGGGGAAGGGGGAGGCATGGGGGAGGGAGGGAAGGAGGGGGGGGGGGAAGGGAGAGTGGCAGAACCAGAAGTTGCTAAATTGAAATAGTGGGTGAGATTGTAAACACTTTACCGTGGCTGCTGTGGGGCTGAATCCTTTGCAGCAAAGGGAATAGTGGCAGTTGCTTGCTGTGGGTGCTGGCTCACCTTGTAGCGGTTGTTGATTCTGAACTGCAGTGCGTTGAGCACAATCCGTTGCATGACAGCCCGGCGCAGGTCCCGCAGGGTCTGCACCTGCTGCACTGGGTTCTGGCGGGAGGAGAAGGCAATGCAGGGGGGGTACGGGAATACGTTAAGGTCTTCAAATTCACAGTCCACGTAGAGTCTGCCTGCACTTGCCGCACCAGGTTCTGCCGGCATGGGAAGGCCATTAACAAGAGAGAGGGGTTGTGGGCTAAGGGCTTAGCACGCGCTGAGACTGCACCGCTGCAGTGGGTTCGGCTGGCAGGAGAAGGAAATGCGGAGAAAGAAAGCGCAGAAGCACGGCACATCACATCTCACCTTGCAGAACTGGTCGAAGAAACGTCCTGCAGCAGCTCGTGGTGCACCAGGACCATCACCAGCATTACCCCCCGTTATCAGCGTCTCACCAACACAGCTCACGAGCTCACCTTGCAGAACATGGTGAGGGAGAAGTTCTGCAGCAGCTCGTGCTGGAAGATCACCGGCATCACCACCTCCTCGCCTTCTCCCCCCTCCGCCTGCTGCTGAAGCGCCGCTGCCGACGGCATGACCGCCGGGGGCAAAAACCCCTCCCCCGCCCCGGCGCCTTCCCCCTCACTCCCCCCATCCAGGTGGTCCCTTGCCCACGTGTGGCGCACAGGCGGGCGCACAGCATGCCTCTCCTTCCGCACAGGCCCAGGGATGGGCGCGGGGGAGGCGGAGGGGGAGGGGGACTCCGCGGAATGGGGGTGGAGGATGGAGAGGGCGGAGCTTGGGGGGACGGCGGGCATGGTGGGGGAGGTGGCGGGGTGCATGGGCGGAGTGAGGCTGGGGGCGGAGGAGGCGGAGGCGGGGGCAAGGGGGGGCGCGGAGGAGTGGTGGTGTGTGATGGATGGGGGAAGAGGCGGGGGGTGGAGAGAGGGGGAGTGGGCGGAGGTGGTGGGTGTGGGGTTCGGAGGCGGCATGTGCATGCCTGGGGGCGTGCGACCAAAGTGCTCCTGAGGGGGTGGGCATGCACAGAGAGTGGGCGGAGAGATGGCTGAGAGTGGGCGGGGAGATGGGTGGAGAGTGGAAAGGAAACCACACATCCCACTGCCACAACCCGAAACCCCCCCCTCCCCCCCTTGCGTTTCATCCCTTATAAGTGTGTTATTTGTGAGGCGCCTTTAACAACCCAATAACTCAGACGGATAGTGGCGGGGGCAGACCCGAGGTCGCACACACACAGAGTGTGGCGTTGGCCGGCTGAGGTCACACCAGCAGTCCAAAACACCTTTCGTCCACCCACTCTCAACCCACTCCCAACCCACTCCCAACCCACGTGCACTCGCAACGCACCTCAATGAGTCTAGTGATATCGGACACAGACGCGAGGTCGCCGACAACGTAGAGCGTGGCGTTGGCGGGGAAGTACCAGCGGTCGTGGAAGGAGCGGATCTGATCCACCGACCACTTCTTCACCTGCTCCTCCAGGCCTATCGGGAAGCGACAGCTCAGCAGGTTCTCCGAGTGCATGTGGTGCAGCAGCTGCACGCGAAGGGCGGGGTGAGGGAGAGAGGGGGTGGTCGAGGAGAAACGAGGATGTTGAGACTCTCGAGAACGACTCTCCGACTGCATGTGGTGCAGCAGCTGCACGCAGGCGACTTGCACACAACGTGCAGGCCTTCAGAGGGGGGCAGGAAGGAGCGGGAGAAGGTGATCGGGAGAGTGGAGAGGGGAAGGGCGAAGGGTGGGAGGGGGAACGGGGCGGGAGGAAAAGAAGAGAACGTGAATCGACATGGTTGAGCGCACACATGGTGAATGACAACCCAGTCACCCGAGTCGATTTACTAACCTGGCAGTCGACGCGGTACTCGATGGTGTTCATCATCTGCATCTCCGAGAGCACGGCGCGCCTCTCCTTGTCGATGCGCGACGGCAGGAACTTGGGGCCGAACGCGATCTCGTGCAGCGCCGCCAGCACCATCGGCAGCATCGGCTCCTGGGAGCCCTGGAGAAAGAGAGGGGGGGGGAGAGAGGGGGGAAGAATTGAGGTGGGAGAAGTGGAGGTTTAGGGTGATGTGGGGGGAAGGGAGGGGAGAGGGTTGGCGACTGGTAGTGCACGAAACAGGGGAGCGAGGAGGACTGGCCCTTACAACAAATAGAAACGTCGCATCACGACACACACCTGCAAGTAGGCACATCCCAACCATCATAGCACCATCTCTACTTTTTGCGCACGACAGAACATGACACAATTGCCACAACACACTTGCCTGCTTGGTGACGGGCGCGTGCATGTGGAAGACGGTGTGGTGAAAGCCCGTGATAACAACACAACATCCATACCTGCATGCATGGCGACAGGATCACTGATCCGCACCGCACTGCACCGCACATACCTCCATAGTGACAGGATCACTGATCTGCACCGCACCGCACCTACCTGCATGGTGACAGGATCACTGCTTGCACCACACGGCACCACACCTACCTGCATAGTAACAGGCGCGTGCACGTGAAACACGGTGTGGTGGAAGTCCGTGTACGCGTTGGAGCGCGCGCCTGTGCCCAGCAGCTTCTCGCGCTTGCGCGACCCCAGGAAGGTGACGTGCTCGATCAGGTGCGCTAGGCCCTGCTCGTCCTCCGCCTCGTCCACCGACCCCACGTGCATCTCTAAATGCGCCTCGAACCTGCCAGGCGGAAGGGGAAGGGGGGAGGGGAGGAAGGCAAGACCCCAGGAAGGTCACGTGCTCGATCAGATGCGCCACGCCCTGCTCCTCCACCCCTCGTCCACCGACCCCACGTGCATCAAGCTGACTTTTGAGTCGACTCAAAGGCCAACGATCCCACGTGCATCTCCAGGTGGGCCTCGAACCTGGCGGGCGGAATGGGAAGATGGGAAGGGGGAAAGGAGAAATGGGGAAAGGGGGGGATGGGGAAGGGGGAATGGGGAAGGGGGAATGGGGAATGGGGAATGGGGAAGGGGGAATGGGGAATGGGGAAGGGGGAATGGGGAATGGGGAAGGGGGAATGGGGAATGGGGAATGGGGAATGGGGAATGGGGAATGGGGAATGGGGAATGGGGATTGGGGAATGGGGAATGGGGAATGGGGAATGGGGAAGGGGGAATGGGGAATGGGGAAGGGGGAATGGGGAATGGGGAATGGGGAATGGGGAATGGGGAATGGGGAATGGGGAAGGGGGAATGGGGATTGGGGAATGGGGAATGGGGAATGGGGAATGGGGAAGGGGGAATGGGGAAGGGGGAATGGGGATTGGGGAATGGGGATTGGGGAATGGGGAATGGGGAATGGGGAATGGGGAATGGGGAAGGGGGAAGGGGGAATGGGGAATGGGGAATGGGGAGTGGGGAATGGGGAAGGGGGAATGGGGAAGGGGGAATGGGGATTGGGGAATGGGGAATGGGGAATGGGGAATGGGGAATGGGGAATGGGGAAGGGGGAAGGGGGAATGGGGAATGGGGAAGGGGGAATGGGGAATGGGGAATGGGGAATGGGGAATGGGGAATGGGGAATGGGGAATGGGGAATGGGGAATGGGGAATGGGGAATGGGGAATGGGGAAGGGGATAAAGGGGTGAATCGAATGCGGGAACGAAACAGGAAGAGGATCGCAAATCAACCGCGTTAAACCAGCAGCTTGTCAGAGCCACCCACCTGTTGGGCGCCAGCTCGCCCAAACGGCTCACCTGTTGGGCGGCAGCTTGTTGGGCAGGATGACGTATCTGAGCCCGTTGTCCAGCATGCCGCGGTGCACCTTGGGGTGGCTCGGCAGCCGCTCGTTCAGCAGCGCCTCTACCTCCGCCCTCTCCGCATCCGACAACCGCTCCGACTCCTCCTCCCCCTCCGCCTCCCCCATTCCCCCTTCCGCCAACCCGTCCCCGCTCCCCCGAACCATCCCCTCGCCGTCCCTCTCCCCCTGGTATTGGCCCTTCTTCTCCTCCTCCTTCATCCGCCCTATAATCTCCACCAGGTTCCCCAGAGCCGGCAGAATATCCGCCGGGATCGGCGGCGAAGCGGACGGCGCAGCTTGCGGCTCGGTGGGGCCCTGCGACGCTTGCGACCGCGGCGCCGCCAGGCGGCAGCGGCGGGAGAACCGCGCGCCAGCCGCGGACGGCCCGTCAGGGGCGCGGGGAAGAGAGCGCGCGACAGGCGTGCGCAGGGTGCGGCCGAGGAACTCCGAGGCGATTGCTTCACGCGGCTGCTGCCGCTGCCGCTTCTGCTGCTGCGCATGGTTCTTGTGACCGAGGTGACTATATTGAAGGGCGGTACGGGAGGAGGAACGTAGCCTGCTGCTGCTGCTGCAACGACATGTGGCAGCGGCTTGAGACGGGATGGGGGTGAGGGGGGAGCGTTGAGAGGCGAGACCGCTTCTCGCAGTGGCGGCGGGTCCGAACCTTGGGATTCTCCAGGTGCTGCGAGCGTGCGCGACGCCACCAGGTGAGGGAAGAGTCGCTCGGGTGTCCGACGCCCGCAGGGGATGATGCCTGGCGTGGCCTTGCCTGCTCGCGCAGAGATGGGGAGAATGCAAGGTAGGAAGTATTGGGCCGAGAAGTGCAAAAGGGAGGTAATAAGAGTCGCAAGTCGCGAGAGAAAACGATTTTCGTGCCTACCAAAGGGCTAACGAGGTGATACACCTGTTTTTTCATGCCAAAGATACGATAAGTATGTTTCGCGATGGAAACCGAATTCGCCGAGTCTCGCAGACTCGTGTTCAGGACGGGAGCGAAAATAAGTACGCGACGAAAGCAACGCGAAGAGAGAACTAAACGACCGGTGGCGACAATGCGAAGCCAGAGCGATGCAGCGAACACGTCTGCAGCTTCGGACAGCATGCGAAGCTGCTTCGCGGATGTCCCGCGCGCTCGATTCCAATCCACCTAGCACGAGTTGGTTAGGTCAAAAGCGGTCGCGACCGAGTGTCGCTATTAACCATATTAAAGCCCGAGCAGGCACAGCGCGAACAGTAGATGAATACCGGGACACCCCCTTAGCCGCATATATCTGCGGCTACTTGACTGATTAAAGCTCGGTGCAGAAATCTCATGCCATGTCTACAACACTATCCGTGGCAAGTGTGGCAGGAGCAGCAGCCCAAAAAACTAAGTGCAGAGATTAAGACGATAAACACAACTAACTTGAAGGAAAACACAAGTAACTTAAAGTCAGGTGACAGTTGACGCATTACCATTGCTGAGAAACGCCTATTCGCCTGACGTCAGCAGACTTCGCGAAGCAGCTTGAGACGTGTCGGGCCGACGCTACTGACGGAATCGGCTTGGCGGAATTCGCATGTTTTCGCTCGCGGCTGGCGACCAAAGTTACACCCGGACGAGGCAGGACGCAGCCCACCTGCGCAAGAGATAAGGCCACGGACATCGCGGGCAGTCGCTACCTAGCCTGTGCGATGACCCCACGGAATTTGCAAATCTAGCGATAAGAGCTCTCAGATTAGGAGCACTCAGAAAAAGGCCACGAACCGCCCTCGTCGCCTATCCTCGCCTCTCAGGAGGGTATCCTGTCTAGATGATCAAGTGTTCTCTCCCCTTCTCCCCAGCAACCTAGGGTTTGCGTTCCTGCTCCTCGAGCAAGAGCTCCAGCTGTTGCACGCGGCCTGCTGCTCCTGCTGCTCTGCTGTTTTGCGACTGCTGGTGCTGCTGCTACTACGACTCTTGCTGCTGATGGGCGAAATGATTTTGCGAAACCGTGGAAGCTTTTATCCTGCACAGACCGACGACGAGACTTTGCGAGTTACAAAGTCGCAGGTCGCTCTCGCTCTCCCAGTCGTACTGCCTGTTTCGCTGGCTGACACCCAAAGATCTGATCCAACCCAATCCGCACCGACATCAACGGTCTGCTTCTGCTGCGGCACCTGCCGCACTTCTGTTTGGCCCGAAGCTGGAAAGGGCGGGCTTTTCGCGCTCGGCCTGACAGAAACAAGGAGTATTTTCACTTGGTGCTGACAGAAAGTTTGAATTGAGTGCCCTTCGGCGAATGGACAGGAAAAAACCTTGAGAGGGCCAATGGCAGCAGCTTCTTACTCCACGAGGACGCGGCAAATGGAGACGTGGCGCTATTCTTGTGGCGCCGCCTGGCAGCTGCTCTTGCCTGAGGTTCATGAATGAAATATCTGAAGCGTCACGACTCACGAGGGTGTGGCTTCAGCAGGGAGGCTAGTTACAGGAATGTTGTACGCGTACAAACGAGAGCCTGTGTGAAACTCAAGAAGGTACAAAGTGTTAAAGATACAGAAAATTGAAGTTGTATACTGTTAGATTTTAGGGATGTTACAATTCTCCTTATAAGAAGTTCCTATGCTCTATAACCTCCAATCATTCTCTGAATTATTGTATGATGGAAATCATTGGATTCCAAGGGTTCTTCCTACACTCCCTTGATGCCATTATGTTGGCATTATTGGGCATGAATTATTGGAGTGCTTGACTCCATGGTAGTCCCTTTTCGGGGTCTTGGGGAGGAGAATCTCATGCATAAATTGTTAAATTATATTGGTAATATATAATTGTAGGCTTGGTAGGCGTTACTGAAACCTATTGTACAGGATACAACCCCCACCTTGTATCCCTCTCTCTTCTAATCTCGGACCACTTTTCCTCTCGATATTTTTCTCCTAGCTAAACCCTCTTGCCTCCTAGTGTTCTTAGCTTGACATGGTATCAGAGCAGGTTGCCCTTCACGGGTCTGCTCCTCACGCTTCCGCCGCGTACTCGTTCTTCTCTCGTCATTTTCGTGCCGCCATGGTGGCCATGCCGAGCTGCCATGGGGGCTCTGTCGTGCCGCGTACTCGTTCTTCTCTGTCATTTTCGTGGCGTCGACGCCACGCCGTGGCAGCGTCATCGTGCTGCCGTGCCAGCGTCGACGTGCCGCCGCGGCATCGACGCCGCACAGTGGCGGCGTCGTCATGCTGCCGTGGCGGCGTCGTCGCGGCGCAGCGGGCCGCGCTTAGTTTTAGGCGGCGCCAGCCCTGACGCCCGCACGCCAGGCCAACGCCAGCCACGGGCGTGTTGCTGGACCACACCCCCTTCCCCCCCCCGTGACTTCCTCTCCTCAAGCCGCAGCTGCTGCCTCAATGCCCGGTCGTTGCCGGGTCATGCCACGCCGACGAGTGCCGCAAGCATCACCGTAGGCGCCGCCGTCGTCGAAGCCACCGCCGCTGTCGTCACCGCCGCCGCTGACACCGTTGCTGCCACCCGCCGGGGGTGTCACCGCTTCGCACGAAGGGTAGAAGACTCACCAACTGCGGCACATTGGGGTGCCAGGGTTCTGGGGGTGTTTCGTGTAGGGTGGGCTTGCCGCTACCAAGCCTAGGGGGTGTGTCAAATTATATTGGTTATATATAATTGTAGGCTTGGAAGGCGTTACTCAAACCTACTGTAGAGGGTTACAACCCCCTCCTTGTATCCCTCTCTTCTCTAATCTCGGACCACTTTTCCTCTCGATATTTTTCTCCTAGCTAAACCCTCTCGCCTCCATTCATGGCCGCCTAGTGTTCTTAGCTTGACATAAATCATTTAGCTTGTGAAGCCCATTTCACTTGTTGAATGACAAGCTTCCTTTTCGAAGCTTTCGATCATTTCCGCTCCGTCGGTAAAAGGGCTGATTTTATCAAACTATTTTAGTCTGATTGTCTGAAATTTCAGACCAATTTTTTTGCCGATCCTGGTTTTTCAAACTTGCCATTTACTGAATGCTGAACCCTTCAGAGTTATATATTTTTTAATTATGAGAATCTCATACATTGTAGTTTGCAGATACCGGGTTTTCAGAGCGCAGCACGTATGGACCCTGAGACAGACATACCGGTACTACACCTACTTGTCAACTTATACATATATTTGTATGTACAAGTTAAGGGCTAAATAGGTTTGTGTTCTTAAAGAGTACTCTCAAAGTTAGAAGTGTTGAATAGAATGAGAGTATACTGGGGTATATAGCTAATGGGTTGTACTCTCTATGGCAAGACCCTATATAGTCTATTAAATATACACCAATATGTTTGACACACCCCCTAAACTAGATAGGGACAGAGCATGGTGGGCAGCACTACTAGTCCAACCTCTGAGGCAGGGGTCTAAAGACAAGTCAAAAGAGTACAAACAAGGCAAGAACAAGGCCAAGGCGGCACTACTAGTCCAACCACTGGGAGAAAGCCACAATGCCAGTGAGGATAATATATAAAGAGTTATACATAATCAAGGTCCTAGCAAATGAGGTGCTACATGAACGAAACCAAGCTGTACGCAGTGTCGCTGATGATCTTTAGGCGCAAGCGCCTTCGTAAAGATATCAGCTGTGTTGGCACCGGAGGCCAAGCGTACTACGCGGGCCTGGCAATGCTGCTCTAGCTCGCGCAAGAGGAAGTACCACAGCTGGATGTGCTTCGCTCTGCCCTCGAGTCTGGGCTCCTGACACAGGAGGATCATGGCCCTATTGTCAGCGTACAGGACTGGGGCACAGCTAGGCCGCTCACCTAAGTCTGTGAGTCAGAAAGTCAACCAACGGAGCTCCTGTGCCGCCATGGCACCGGCGTAGATCTCAGCCTCATAGGTAGACTGGGCAATAGACGACGAGCAGGTGGACCTCCACGAGAGAGCACCTGCACCAAGGCTAAAGCAGTAGCCCTGCGAGGACCTGAGAGCCTCGGCGTCGTCTGCCCAAGAATGATTGTGTGCCCGGTAAGGACCACTGGTCTGAGTCCTCCTAGCACTAGCCCCATGCCTGATGTACTTGCTATATAACGCAAAACCCTCATGGCTGCAGACCAATGCTGTGGTCGGTGTCTGACGGAGGCCACAAAGTGGGCCAGGATGTAGAGAGGGTATGCGAGATCTGGATGAGTGCAAGTCATCAGGTACATGAGGCAACCCACCAGGTCTGCATAAGGACCACTAGGCTCTACGGCCTCCTACGGGACTTGACGAGAGAGTATGTGGTCTACTGGCAGAGGGGTGGGCTGTGCGGAAGAGAACTGAAGGCCGAACCTCTGAAGGACCTGGCGCACCAAGTGTGACTGTGTAAGAGTGATGGTGCACGCTGCTCTGTCCCTGGAGATCTGCAAGTCAAGGTAGCGGCACAGCTCTCCTAGGTCAGTGCAGGTGTGTCTCCTCAGCAGCTCGGCCTTCACGGAGGCCAGCGCGCCTCTGTCTACAGTAGCAAAGACTAGGTTGTCTACGTAAACATGGATGTAGATCGGATTCCGGCCGGAACAGACAAAGAGCGAGGGGTCTGCAGACGACGGGAAGAACTGCAGGTCAACAAGTGATGCACGCAGCGTGTAGTGCCACTCACATGGCGTCTGGCACAGGCCATAGACAGGGTGCCGGAGGAGCCACTCGGTACCAGGGGGGACGGTACCGGAAAGCCCTGGGGGCGGCGCATGTAGACCTGCTCGTGTAGACTGCACTGGAGGAAAGCTGTGGAGAAGTTGAGTGAGTGCAAATCATAGTCACACTGTGCTGCTACGTGTAGTAGTGCCCGAAGAGTACTCATCTTTGAGGTCGGGGCGAAGGTCTTTAAGAAGTCAACCCCCTCACGCTGACTGAAGCCACGAGCAACGTAGCGCGCCTTGAAGTCAGGCGGCTCTCCGGGAGAGTGCTTTACCTTGGAGAGCCATCGGCCATCGACTACGTTCACCCCAGGTGGGGGAACTCCGTCGATGAAGGTACCGGTGGATCTCCAATATGCCATCTCCTGCTCCATGGCAGCTATCCACTGAGAGGCCCAGGGTCCCGAGGTGGGCTCAGCGTAGGTGCGACAGGTCGGGATGTCAAGGGCGTTTGGGTCACCCTCAGGGACTAGCAGCATGGAACAGAGATGGGAAGCGGCCTCAGACAGGAAAGCGAGCTCGTACTGCCTGTCCTCTAGGACGTCACTGCCAAGGGCAGCCACACCCTCGACGGACAAAGGGTAGGCAGGGTCAGAGACCAGAGCGGTAGCGTAGTCAAGGCGGCGGGTAGCGGCGAAGTCAGTGACAGCAGCAACAATAGCCGACAGACTCGAGACAGGAACAGACGGGTCGGTAACGAGAGAGGCAAGGACATGAGGAACAAGGGGACGCATGATACGGAGGAAGTCAGAAAGCCTAGGCGGGGCCACAGCGAGCGACGACGGAGGAGGAGACGGGAGGAGCGGAGGAGCACGAGACGCGTGAGAGCGAAGCAACATAGGGTGAGAATGCGGAACATGGGAGGTAGGACGAGCACGAGACGGACGATGAGCCCAGATGTGAGATGGAGGATTCGGGTCAGGAGAGAGGGGAGGAGACACAGGAGGAGAATGAGGAGGGAAACGAGCCGGAGAAGAGTCCACTGGAGGAGATATAGGGCCGTAGACCGCCAGAGGAGGAGGCGGTGGCGACCGAGGAGGCACCGGTGGGCGGTCAGGAGAAGGAAGGCCAAGGAGGCAAAGAGCGGACACCGGTGGCGACGGCGATGACTACTGCCCGACGCCAACACCAGAACCTCCAGCAAGACCACGGCTCCCTCCGTGAAGCCCCATGCCAGCAACCCCAGAACGGGAACCTGTTCCAGTACTCGCTCCGATATGCTCCCCAGCAACCCCAGAATGCACAAACCCCAGCGGCGGTGACAACGGCGGCTGTGGCTGCGGCGGCGACGGCTAAACATACACAAATATGTTTGACAAGTACAACTCCAACCCTA